ATGTTTTCTGTCTCCCAGGTGGAAGCGAGATGGAGCAGCCGGCAGGTGTCGCCGGGTGCGGCGGCCACGCTGCAGCTGAGCACGCCGGGGCCGGCACTGTGCGCGCTCTCCGCCCTCGACAGCGCCGCGCTCTGGCTGCAGCCCCAGCCACCGCTCAAGGACACGCTGCTTCAGGCCCTCAAGAAACTGGTCGAAGCCCATAGAAACCTCACGGAGTACGACGCCGCGGGAGAGTGCTTCCTAAGTTAGTACACTCAACAAAGTCAGTTATAATTGAATACATTATTATATAAAAGAGCACGTTCAATCTATTTTCTAGCCTGATCCTCTACATTTTCTGACTATGGAACTCTCGGTATTCCAGCAAGCGATGCTGCGGAGCTACCTTCTAGCGGCTTGGAGCTGACGCGCTCGTGGCTGGCGGCTGCGGGCGTGCGCGCTCTGGGTGAAGCCCCGCCCCCACGTCGCTGCGGCTCCGCCCCTGCACCAGCTCCCCTCATGCAGCACGACGATATGCAGCCCAGGACTGACTTCTCTGAGGTACAACTTTCAATACCAGATTTATTAACTTTAAGAAAACGGCATTAAAAAATCATCAACATAGTTGAACTAAATTATGCAGCCTTTTATAATACTGCCCCGTTATGTTCTTCCTTATCTTTACCCAACTATACGTTAATTTATATTAGTTTAGAATCTTGGAATCAAGTAGCTAATGTTCGGAACTTAAACGCTTTGCCAAACTTACGGCAAAGAGAACAAGATAATTACAGATTAAGCCAATCTAGTAGACTACTTCTCATCGCAAAAGCAACCTTAATATAATCACAATTAGGATCAAATTATGTTGGTTAAAACTTGTGTGTCTCCTGCAATCTGCAGTGTCATGTGAAATTTAATAATGTATGTTATGAGGCGAGGCTGCCGACTAAAGTGTCCTCAGAGGTTCGAACTTATACTTAAACGTTGTTTATTAGCGCTTAGCGACATCTAGCGAACGACAACGTGCTCTATAATTTGCAATTAGAACTCTATACAAGTTTAACCTAAGTAAAATATGACCTAAACCAAACCAATGAAATGGTCAGGAAATCAGTTGCACTCTGTGGCACACGCCTCCAGGGCAGTCTGATGAGTGTGCTGTTTAATTTTAGCCTCCTTTCCCTTTCAACCCTTTTCTCATAAGGTAAAGATGGGATGGTAATATAATGGAGGGGGGGGGGGGGGTCGCATGCGAACGGGAAATATACTCTCTGTGCGTACTCTTCCTCCTCCTTTGATTAATGGCAACGTATCTGCAATTGCGGATGTCTACGGGCAGTGGCTGTTTCGCTATTTAGGCTAATTTAGGCTGCTCGTTTGCTTTTCATAAAAAAATATGACTTGCATCTATGGTCCTTCGAGTCGGATTACACTCTGCCCGTGTTACAGGCATGGCTGTGGCGTCTGGTGGCGGTAGGCCTAAACGGCAGCGCGACGAGCACTGCACGTGCGCCCGACTCCATCACCCTGTACGAGGCGGGCGCCGTCTGTCTCGCTAAGACAGGCATCGCCATATCCAGCCCCGCTGTACTGCAAGTGAGCTAAAACATAAGTCTTCTGGCAAGAGAAATGTCTGAAAGTTTTCGTAAGAAAATCAAATGATTTCAGATGAAAATTTACTTTATTTATTTTAGAATACTTTGTTGTGAAAATAATGCTTCAATCTTCTTATTTTTAGATTCGTTTACATTGATGTTGTTATTAATTCCAGGTGTTCCGCGAATTCTTCATACATGCTGACGCCCCCAAAACATTGCGTCGTGGTGATAACACTATAATACGCTATCGTCTCTTCAACTACTTATTTGAACCACTGAGCGTGAGTACAAATATACCCTTAATTGTAAAATATATTTTTAGATAAAAAAAACACTAAAGAGGTTTAATAATATTTTCTGTTCAGTTATTGTTTGTTATCTCTGACCGTGCAATTCTGAGACCGAAAGCCCCGTTTAAAATATATCGTCATCCCAGTCATTATCATTTTTGGTGTAATGATAAGAAGGTTCCAACTATGTACTTAAGTACTCGTTAATTAGCCTATAAGATGTGTCTAAATAAGTGCATCAAAATCTATGGTTCTCAGGTTCAAATCCAAGTTTTAGCAGACCCTCACCTAGAGGGCGCTAACCGCATCGAGACTGCGTGCGTGTCAGCGCGCGGCAGTGCGGCGCGGCGCGTCGAGGTGCGCGCACGCGTGCCCGGCGCCGCGCGGCTGCGTATACGTGCGCAGGCAACCAGCGACAATAAATGTGGCTCCACCAACAGGAATAACGTCAGGTTAACAACTTTAATATGAGACAGTTAAAAAGTTAAGTGTTCACAAATTTATAACCATGGGTTTTCATTATGAGACATTAGTAGAGCCCCTAATATCGGTTAAATACTTCAAAAAGACACGTGTCAAGTGGAAATAATTCCGCGTCCAGTTTGATGAGTGTGCTTGTCGGAGGCCGAATTTAACTCCTCTTCCCCTTTTCACACTTTTCCTACAAAGAAAAGAGTGAGAATGGGAACTGGATTTGGCGGGGAAGGGGACGCATAAGGATGCGTCCTTTTCTTTTGTGTTTAAAAGTAGGCAACGTAATGTTATGTTAATCTGAAATTTAACTATTATTACAGTGATGAAATAATAATAGAAATACAAGTAGAGCCTGAAGGTGTGCCGGTACAAGAACACAAGTCCACAATGCTCTGTGCACCAGGTACACTATCATCCTTCTAATTCAAACTAGAAATATTTATAACCACAGACAAACTGCACATTTCTTATGTGAATATTGTACCCAGGGCCGGTTTTAGCATTTGCAGCGCCCTTGGTTTTTTCGTGGTGCCCCCTTTTTTTGGTGTCGGGAGAAACTTCCAAAGATCTTAGGGTGCCCTGGGCGGACGACTAATCTCTCCCTACTTTAACGTCGCTACTGCTTGTGCCCAGGGTCGTCTGAACCGATGGGGTCCAATGTGACGTGGAGTTGGGAGCAGTCCGCGGCGGTGGTGGGCACCGAGAACCTCACTGTATGGGCTGTGTCCGACGGTATCGGACCATTGCTCGCCGTAAGTATAACATGATAACTTTCAATGCTATAATTATTCGAATTCTTAAAACAAACTTGAATATTGTAAAGGCTACTTAAGGTAAACGACCATAACTATTGAGTTATGGCCAATATTTACAATGCATGTATCCTTTAATTAGTTGTAATATTGTAATGTGTCAGGACGCGGACGCGTTGGTGTCGCTGCCGCGTGGCTGCGGGGAGCAGAACATGGCGCGCCTGGCGACCAACCTGCTGGCGCTGCGCGTGCTCGACCCGCGCGCACCCGCAGCACTCGCAGCCAGGGAACATGTCGCTAGAGGTCAGCTTACACAACCACGAACAGCTATTTTTACACATCACAATCGTATTACTATAGCCAAGAGGCCAAAGAAAATATCGATGAAATCCGTTTTTGTAGATTAACTAGCTGACGCTCGCAAACCCGTCCACGCGGAATTAAAAAAAAACTTTAAGTAGACTATTTGTTCTTCCGGTCTGTGTTATACATCTGTGCTAAATCTCATCAATATCTAGTCATAGATCATAATAGCTTCTAAATTATTGTTTTTACATACGTTGTGATGTTAATAAATATGTATGAACATTATGTTTCAGGCTTCACTCGCCAGCTGCAGTACTCGCACGCTGGGGGCGGGTTCAGCGCGTTCGGTCCCGCAGACCCCGCCCCCTCCACCTGGCTCACCGCCTTCTCTCTGCGATACATGCACTCTGCTTACCATGTATGTACCTCACATAACTATGAAACTCTTTTGATGAATATACCACGTTTGCTGCAATACCACCACCACACAGAAGACAGGCGTCAATTCTACATATCAGTCTGATGAGTATACATTCCGAATGTCTAAGTTGACTCCTCTTTCCCACTCTTTTCTTGTAAGGATTTGACGAAAAAAAAAAACAAATAGAGGGGGTGAAATATCCTCTTTCTGTCAACTCCGTCGATTAAAGGTAGTAGGTATATATCTAAATCTATAAAGATTTAATTAAGGAATGTTGTAGTTAAATGTTTATGAGTGTAGGTGCTATCCCCGGGTTTGCCCGCGCCCCCCGCACTGCGGCTGGCGGAGCGCTGGTTGCTTAGTCAGCAGATGGAAAACGGCTGCTTCCGAAACGAAGGACAGGTCTTCCACACTGAACTCAAGGTATCTGAAGTCTGATTCAATGGAAATTTCAAATTATAACAAACTAGCTTTTGCTCTCGTCTTGTAATGTGCGGAATGAAGAAACAAAGTAATTGCTTATGTGTTATTCCAAACTATATTCTATATATTTGCCAAATTCTATCTAGATCTATTCAGCCCTTCTGGAGATACCTAGTTATAAATATTATTCATATTACTTAGCAAATAATTGTCACAAGACATTGTCAAGGGTCGTTTTCAAATCTATTTATTTATAATGAATAACAAATTTTTAAAAAAAATTTGGTTAAAAAACCCCGTTCGTTCTATATAATCTCCATAAAAGCTGGACCGATTTTGACGAAACTTTTACTAAAAACTAGCTAATAAACACGGGAATAACATAGACAATTTTTTTTTAATTCCACGTTGAAGAATTCGCAAACAACTATTAAACCACTTATCTTTAATAACAGGGTGGCTTAGATGAAGATGGAGAAATAGCCAGCGTTGCTCTTACCGCGTATGTGATCACATCACTCATAGAGGGCGCTGCAGACGTTCCTCTCAGAGTCATTCGCAACTCACTCTCTTGTCTTCGAGCTTTCCCTCTCTCTAAATCTAAAACTCACACGGGAGTGTACGCACACTCTCTTCTCGCATACGCCCTCATGCGCCTCAGGAAGTACGAGGAAGATTTGAGGAGAACCAATGAAGCTTACTTACGAGAAAAAGAAGTCGCCAGCGGATTAATGGAGGATGAGGAGTTGAGGGAACTGGTGCTGCTGCTTAAACTGGCTAAGAGGAATAAGGAGTACGTGTATTGGGAAACTGGTGAGTTTATTTATTGATAAAATATTTTTGTTTGTTCGTAATCTCGCGTTTGTTCCGAATAATCTCCGCAACGGTCTGACATAATTTGACAGGACTTTGACCTGAAGGGGAATTCTTTTAAAATTTGCGCTGATGAAGTTGTGGGCGACGGCTATTCGACGCTTATACGACCATTGATAGTATATCAAGCCTCTTTGTCACTGGATCTTTAAAAGAGTATAATGTTGGGATTGATAAAAGATTTGTGTGTACGTGTGTAGGTTCGCTGGCTACATCAATAGAAGCGAGTGGGTACGGTCTGCTGGCGCTGCGGCGATGCGGCGCGGCGCTGCGTGCCACCTGCGCTGCTGACGCGCGCGCTGTGCTGCGCTGGCTGGCCTCACACACCGGCCCTACCGGAGGATTCCTCTCCACACAGGTACATTACCCACATATCTTTATGGACAGGCTAAAAGACCTAGTATTTTTGTGCCTATTTCATTTTTGATGGTCGGTTTATATAAGCAAAAATCAAATAGGCACAAATTACTATGTCTTATAGCCAGTCTATTTATAAAGGTCAGTACGCTGAAACACAGACTATTTTCATTGATATTTTGTGAATTAAAAACTATCAAAAAATATCTGGCAGCGGTGGGATTCGAACCCACGCCTCCGAAGAGACTGGTGCCTTAAACCAGCGCCTTAGACCGCTCGGCCACGCTACCATATCTTAGACAATTGAAACATGAAATAAAATCTACAATATATTCAAATAAGCCTTGTTTCCACTAGGATACACTAGTAGCAATGGAGGCTATAATCGCATGGTCGTCGCACACTCAGCCAGCCAACCTGAGTGTGTCAGTGAGCAGCGAGTCTGCCAGGTCCAGCATCAGCGTGGTGCCGGGCAACAGGCTGCCCGCCCTCCTCAACATGGGCACTGGTCACCATCTCACTATCTCTGTTGAAGGTATACAAATAATGTTGATAAAAGTAGACAGTTGCCAATTTTTATTGCAAATATGTATAATGATTGATCTATAGTTATTAATAAAAAAAAGTATAATGTATTTGCGTTGCTAAAAACTAAAAACCATTTTTTTTTGTCTGTGTGTCTTCAATGCAATGTTTGTTCCGAGTAATGTATGGACAGATTTTAACAAGAATTTGACTGTAAGATAGTTATTTTATAAGCTACTTTTTCAGCCTGCTTAGAAAATAAAGAGGTATCAAGTCAAACGTATATTTTTAACCAGTGATGCTCCAAATTTGTTAATTATTTTTTATTGCAGAGGGGTGCTTGTAGATGGGTGTCATTATTAATATACTAGCTGTCACCCGCGCCTTCGTCCGCGCGGTATTAAAAAAAAACTTAATTAGTAGCATATGTGTTCGTCCAGTTTATGCCAAATTTCATCGAGATCCATGCAGCTGTTCTGCTGGAGATACGTTCACACATCCATCCATCCATCCATCCAAACATTCGCATTTATAATAATAGTAAGATAAACATATACCAGGCAGTGGTTGCGGTGTGGTGCAGGCGACGCGCACCTACAACACGTTGTCCAGCAAGCAGGGCGCATCCTCGCTGCGGCCGCTGCGGGCGCTGCGGGCGCTGGTGGCGGTGCGCACTGACGGCATCTTCCACTGCCGCGACAACAACACCTCCTGCTTCTGCGCTGCCATCATAGAGGTAACACCTTCAACACCGTTATACCATCAACCTTATCCCTACGGAAGGTCGGCACAGTTCTACTCCATACAACTCTATTAGTCGTCATATCCTCTTTCAAGCAATCCATACTTTCTTTGTTCTTTCTCTTTAAGCTTAGTTCTCAATTTAATAGCAGTAAAGCCACAGACAGAAATGACGCGGAACTGGTGTGTGCATGGAGAACAAAATAGTAATCCATTTTCCGTATCTTTCTTATAAGCTAATTAGTATAATTTCATATAAGCTATAAGTGGTCCCTTGATGCTTTTAGCTAATAATTTTTTCCGCTTGCTTGTTTGCTAGACTATTCGACATCTATGCTAAATTTCATCGAGATCCATGCAGCCGTTCTGGAGATACCTTTTAACAAACATTCATCTTAACATCTTATCATTGAATAGTTAATGTAAAATGTATGCGATGTGTAGGTGTGCGCGCTGTGGGGCGGCGGGTTCCCGCAGATGGCGCTGCTGGAGGTGTGGCTGCCGGGCGGGTACGCGGCTGACGCTCGCCGCCTCTACCAGCATCTGCAGCCCCAACACTTGCGTCAGTTCAGTTACACCTACCTCCTACCATACATTTATACAAAAACACCAACACTTACGCTCGTAACCCACACGGATAGCTAGAGAAGGTATAAATCCATCTGGGACGGCTCCGACCGTCTCTACCGCGTCATAAATTTCCTTCACTTAATCTTTCATACATTTACGTCGTTATTTTACATACATTTATGTTCTAAGGCATTCACAGAAATCAATACGGCTGCCAATGTCAGCGGTTAAGTAGTAGGAGACGGTGGCATTATCTTTTGACGAAGGCTACCCACTAGATGTCGCTCCACTAATCGTGGGTTTCTGAGACTATGAATTTAAAACATATTGTTATCTCTGTTTTGTCAAATATGAAAGACAGGAATGAAGATATGTTTTATACATTGATTTTGTAGTCAGAAATCCAGTGTAGGAGAGATAAATAATTTCCTTATGTAACAATTTCAGTGCTGCGTCGCATAGAGTTGTCCAACTCCGGCGGCAAGGTGACGCTGTACCTGGGGGCACGCGAGGGTGGGGGCACGCTGCCGCACCACCACCACCACTGCTTCACTCTGCACCTCGTGGGTCCACGCACCCTCACGCGACCCGCACATGTCAAACTCACTAACTACTACCAGCCCACAGTCAATGATGTACAGGTACCAACATATCTCACTATTTAAACGGAGATGATCAATCAAAAATATTTAATTTAGTTTTAAGTTATTCTTTACTTAAACATCTTTTCTTCTTTAGGAGCGTCGGTGGCTCAGGGGTCAAGCACTTGGCTTGCAATCTGCAGGTCCTGGGTTCGAATCCCGCCATGTACCAATGTGTTTTTCGATTTCCGATTTACATATGTACATTTATCAGACGTTCTTACGGTGAAAGAAAATATTGTGATGCAACCTGCACATATCTGAGAAGAAATTCAAAGATATGTGTGAAATCAACCAACCCGCAATTGGCCAGCGTGGTTGACTATGGCCTTATCACCCTTAACTTAAGGTAGGCTGCGAGCCCCTCGGTGGGGACGTATAGTGAGCTGATGATGATGATGACATCTTTTCTTAGGAGCTTTACTCGTTTATAATGATGACATAATCTATAAAGGATCTCCATCTTCTATTCATGTGTTTTTATTGACAACTATCTGACGCTCGCGACTTCGTCCGCGCAAAATTAAAAAAAAAAACTAGTAGCTCGTATGTTCTACATGTATGCCAAATTTCAGTAACATCCATACAACTGTTCTGGAGATACATTCTAACAAACATTCATCCAAACATTCGCATTTATAATATTAGTTAGATTTCAATCATCAACATCCACTGTATGTCCCCAACGTCAACCACGCTGGCCAAGTGCGGGTTGGTTGATTTCATACATGTCTTTGAATTTCTCAGATATGTGCAGCATCACGATGTTTTCCTTCACCGTAAAAACGTCAGATAAATGCACATACAATCGGAAATGGAAAAACACATTGGTACATGGCGGGATTCGACCCCAGGACCTGCTGATTGCAAGTCAAATGCTTGACCACTGAGACACCGACGCTCTGATTTCATTACTATACCTATAACATATAAATTATTAACACTTTTTAAATGTTATTTTATCTGGCAGATGTATACAATACCGGAGGATTGTCCGTCGCGTGTCTCACACGAGACTGACACATACCAACATACAGATAATTTATTCGCGAGTGCCAGATCTCTCGACACCGGGGAGATCATTATAAACAACGACTTTACATTTGAAGATTTACCTGAAGGTACACCACTTGATGATCCAATGTTTGAAAATCTAACAGAGAAAAAAGATACGAGAATCAAAAAAGAGAATCCTTCAAATATTAAAAATATAATTACAGATAAAAACATAACAAAACCAAAACAAAACGTAAAAGACAATTCAATAGATTATTCGACACTTTTGAATATTTTCCAATCACAAATTAATTATATTAATGGTGAAATAAATGAAATTATAAAACATAAATATCAAATTAATAACAAAACTATTATTGATAAACTAAATCCAACTACTACAGTTAAAAATAATATAACAGTTAGACCGAAAATAGATAATCCTAAATTATCTAGTTTCCACGTGATAGAATCAGATAAAGATCTAGAAGTTCCTACAGGAGTAGAAGGTCCTGTTCCTGCTGTAGTTCTCCCGCCAAAAGATTTTATCTTCAATTCTACAGGACCTGGTAAGTAATTTTTCTTTAATTTATATTTAACGATTAAACGTTCCTTTCTGAGAAGAAAATCTCTGTATATAACATATCGTCATCCCTTTGACAAAACTGAAATAACAAAAAACATATTGGTTTGATCTCAGAAACCTACTGTTAGAAAAGAAATAATGATAAAGTTAAATGAAACACGCAGATAAACTGAAATAAATATTATAAAAAAAGTAAAAGATTTCAAAGAAAGATTTTAAGAAGCCATCCATTTATAAAGGCTCCAACGTATATAATCGTCTCACATTTTTGACATTTTTTGCAAAATTTTTAACACGTTTGCATGCAATATTACGTTACAAAATACGTTTTTTAGGGTTCCGCACCTCATAGGAAAAAAACGGAACCCTTATAGGATCACTTTGTTGTCCGTCCGTCTGTCTGTCAAGACCCTTTTTATCAAAAACTCGTGAAGATATCAAGCTGGAATTTATTTAGATAAGAAACAGCTAAATGTAGAAATGGTGTTCACAGGGACATCAGAAACTTTCTGGCGAGCGATACAATCACCTGCAGACATAAACAAAAACGTTAGGGATAAAAGAAAACTAAACCACGCCTAGTAAATATTTAGTAGTATGCAATATAAATGTAAATTAACAGATAAAATATTATTTAAAAAACAATGAGAAGGTTTCATATCGATATAATTTTGTATTTTTTTTTTCTAATCGTTGGTTTCTGAGACCAAAATCCCTGTATAAAACATATCGCGTTCCATAATTGTCTTTGACAGAACAGAGATTACGTTTCATAAAGGGTTTTTGGGCTCAGAAACCAACTATTAGAGTTAATAAATAAGCTTAAAATGAGTTTTCACCGTTGTAACACTTCTATAACAACATTACCATCTCTGTTATTTTTCTCTTTTAAGGGAATATACATTATTCAAAATATTACATTTGAAAGTTTGATATATTTTTGTATGTGATTTTGTAAATTAATTATTTATCTTAACAATAAGACTAACTTCTATTAAAATGGATTTATTTCCAACTTTATATTAGCTACCTAAAGTGGATATTTAACATAATTTTCAAAACTACGTACAAAAACATCGTGAACTAAACAATAAAATTAATATTCATAATGTTAGTCTAAATTTATCTGTCTGGAATGCGTCTTGATAGACGTTTCTAGAACTCCGGGGAAGTGGACAAAATTATCACATCTCCGCCATTCTTAAATTAACTTTAAATTAGTATTAAATATATCGTAAGTAATTATTTATTAATATTGTAAGACTGAATAATATGACAAATGCCAATTATTTGTTGCCAATAAAAAAAAATGTGTCACGAATTCGTTTTTTTTTTGCTAACCTACTTGTTCTACGACAAAATACCAACATAAAGTGTTCATATGTATTACTTCATTTTATCTAGTAACTAGCTGTCGCCCGCGACTTCGTCCGCGCGGGATTATAAAATAGATGTTGGCCGATTCTCAGCCCTACTCAATATGCTCACAAAACTTCATGAGAATCGGTCAAGCCGTTTCGGAGGAGTATGGGAACGAAAATTTTGACACGACAATTTTGTATATAATATTTACAATAGTCTAAACTCCTATACCCTTTCCTTTTCCCCTTCCTTTCCTATACAAATATCTATCTTTAGTTATTTTTCTCTATAGGTTTTAGTTTCTGTCCAAAGACTAAATAAGTGACATTTATACTTTTTTTTACATATTTTCGTTCTACTATATAAAAAAGAAATGATTAAAAAGATATAATATAAAATTTGTTATTTTATTAAGAAATTAATCTTTTATACAGCTTATAAACCAAGATTATATTTAAATAGAAAAGTACATATAATAGTGCTTTTGTTTCTACTATGAAAAGACTCGACCCATTTCAGCGGGATACATACTATCTTAACGTCACGACTAACAATGGAAAAGTGGACTTAAAATATGTGTTAGCATGCACGTCCTAATTTTTTAAAAGCCTAAATGAAACATGAATTCCCACTGGCGAAAAACATTTACAAAAACATACTGTTATCTCTGTTTGTACAGAGTCAGAACGGGATCAAGATATATTTTTATATAAGTTCATTTTAGAGTAAAATCATAATTATTTACTTGTTAAATGGAATGCAATAATTAAGTGTAAACTTCCACAGTCTCGAGTTAACAACTCTTTTAAGTGGTCCCTTAGTGTAGATTTAAAATAAAAAAAATTCTAAGGCAACCTTTAGTGTTAAATTATTCAGACTTTCGTGAGACATTATACTAAACTGATATAAAAACGGCTAAACACTCACGTATATTAGTCCGGTGGCGGCACCGACTAGTTTCGAGTCCATCATCAGGCCCTTCATCAGGGCCATCAGTTTAGTATAATCGACCTTCAGTGACCAATCTTTCACAGTAACAGTTAATTTCATGGTAACATAGCACTCGTAAAATGGTATAAATATACGAAAAATATTGATAAGTCTAATTGACTTTAGAGCTTTTCTAAATATATTACAAAATACGTCACGAGAAGTAAACAAAATTTTCATTAGCCTTTTAAAAAGTCCGGTTATTAAAAGAGGGAACAAGGAAATTATGCACACGCTTCCAATAAAAACTTTATAGATACGCCAAGGGAAAGGGGAATGTATGAGTGTCTGACTCAATACTGGACGACATGAGTCATGACACTGCTATCGTTTTACTAAACTAAAAGCTATATGTCCTTGAAAAAAAATAAAAGGGCTCATATAAAAGTGATGTGAATCAAAATCTTTTTATTCAAAAATAATATCATCACAAATTATTCGTCTGACACCAAAATTGGCGAATTGGAATTAAAAAAATAATTAATTTAGTAAACGTAAAGGAAGAAAACTTCATTCATTATCAGTTTCTTTTAAATGAATTTGGACGTAAGTAATTAATTGTTACGTGTTTAGGATTTAAATTCAAAACGCGCGATTATAGGAATCTAATTTAGTCTACATATTTATGTCGCTGACTCAGAACATTTGAAAAGCAAAACACGTGACTCATAGTTATGTTACTGACTCTATATAATATACGTTCGTCTTTAATTACGGAAAAACTGTTTATAAACATTTACATGATTTTCAATACAAGAGTTATGAAATCTAAGTGATAAATTATAAGTAGGATTCACAAAAAAAATTAATAGTTACTTTAGTGACTAAGAAAGTCGAGTCAGTTAATCTTACTAATATTATAAATGTCAATGTTTGGATGGATAGATGGATGTTCGTTGAAAGATATCTCCAGAAAGGCAGCATTGATATCGCTAACATTTGGTATAGATGTAGAATATAATCTGTAAGAACATATAAGCTACTAATTATTACTTTAATACCGCGCAGAGTCAGGAGCGGCGGTTAGTATGGACATAAACACGTTGAATACAAGAGAACGATAGTACTTGGTGCCGTGCCCTCAGCGCATCCGGACTGATAAAGCCGAAAAGCTATCATAAACTGTGAGCTCCGTGAAATTCGTACGTTTTTAACGAACAAAGGATAATGGCACACACATTGTGCCCTAGAGGATGTGGAGACAATGACACGCTGTGTAATCGTTCTTTACAATGAAACGTAAATGTACCTCCTGTGCGTTAATAAAAAAAACGGCCAGCATGACTTTAAAATAATATCAAACGTTTTTGTTTGAAACATTAATAAATTGTTAAAAAAGCTGAAAAAAATGACTGCAAGATAAAAAAAATAATAATACGTTTTATTAAACTATATAATGTTCGCAAGATATTATTTTTGCCTCCATTTACAGGACAAGTAAGAGCTACTAACATTTTCTCTAATAGGTTGTCGATTCAAAAACTCCACTATTCACTTTCTACATTAAATTAATACAAATCGAAAGCCGTATGTTGTTTCATACTATTTTACAAAGTCATACGATTCTCTGCAAGAATAAAGCTAGTAAACAGAACATAATTTTCCTACTACATTTCATCTTTTACGCGGGTCGTTTAATATTGATTTAATCAAGCCGGCCTCTAAATGGGTCAAGTTCTTTTGAAAAGTATGTCAAGGTAAAGAGCGCTAATAAAACTTTTCTATTACACAAAACGAGACATATCTTATTAGCATTTCCATTGTCACGATCGCATTTCTCCTGAAGGTCAAATCAATTATCAATCAGCGCCATCTATGCTTTTCTTAAGTAGGTAAATGATTTTACATACAAAGCTATATTACTAGAAGACAAAATAGTGAATCCAGGTCCATAAGCAAAAATAAAAAACAAAAAGTTAGCAACATTTTAATATATATTTTTATTCAAATGAATTCAATCATACATTAGAGAATACTTGGATTTTTATGTACGTTCTTTAAATTATAATAATAATTACAAAATAAAACTTACTGAAGTTATATTCGTTACATACATATAAAGAATGATCTGCTTTCATTCGCACTCTCAATGCCATTTGCCATAGACAATAGATTTCTACTTTTTTTCACTGTAACCGTTACCATAGTTTGAGCAACACTCCACATATTTAATTGAAAAATATCGAATATATTGTGCTCTATGCTCATAAACACCGCGTTAAAGCTACGTGGACAATTTTATTTTAAATTAACTATAATTAAATGCACCATAAGAACCTCATTTCTAATGTATCTCACATAGCACTCAGTTATGCAAGCAATATTCCACATCTAACGCAAATAATACTGACCATAAAATATTTAGGTTGGATGGAATAATAGTTTGGATACAGTGGAAGTTACAATCATAAATCAACTGGATATCTTAACATCTCTTAATTGACATATGTTGATGAACAAAAATTACAATTCTCCATTATATTGCTTACACAACTACCTGTCCATTGCAAACAAGTCTCTGTCAGACCTCGGTCTCTACAGCAGCCCGCGGCAGACCATCGCCCAGTTCCACTATGAACCTAGACAGGGTCTAAGGTATAGGTTCAGGCCTAAGTACGTTATTTGCTATAATCTCAACGCTACTATCAGAAATTGATTGCATCTCGTAGAGAAGCCTATTGTATGAATATTTCAAAGCAACAAATATATTAAAATTGCGGCAGTATTTTGTAATGAGAGTAACAAAACGCATAAAATTTAACAGTTACAATAGCCATTTCTCTATATAGTCATAGATAAATACGCGCCGGGTGCTCGGCCCACGGAGCCAGTAAACATTTGAACAAGATTTATTCTTATGTGAATATGTACAGAGGCGGGGAGCGTCCGCGGTGCTCAGGACGCGGCGGCGGGACATCATTGGCTCTTCAGCTCCTTGCCGATCGTGTACGACACCAGCCGCGCCCAGTCGATCTTGCTGCGCGTCACCGGCAGCTGCCGCCGCAGCGCCTTGAACGTCGTGTCACTCATTGTCTTGTAGTTGTCAGAGATCGCCGTCTGGTACGCGTTCTCCGCTTCGCAAACTAACCGTACGAATTCCTTTGCGGTAGCCGCTTCCCCCGTCCCCACGAGTGGTGCGCGGACTTCCTTCGAGCTCACTAGCTGCACGTTGCCGTCCTCATAGTAATGGACTTGTACGCGCAGCATACCCCGCAGCTCCGCTGCGCCGGCGCCTACTGTCAGCGACCACACGGAACGCCATCGTCCATTCCAGTAGTTTTTCGGCTGGAATTGGTGATCTTCAATACACGCGACGAGAGACACGGTGCTAGCGTCGATCGCACGCCCCACGACCAAGCTCGCGCCGTGTTTGTAGTGGGCGGCAACGTACGCCGTCAGCTCCTCGTCCAGAGCCGCTCGCCATGGTTCTGCAACTCGGTCCGGCTCGTAGGGCTCGTACTCCGAAGCTTCTTTACGTAAATGGTCATACTTGAAGGATCTCTTGGACCTCGGATCGAAGAATCTGCCTCCCCCAAGTTCGTTATGCTCGGTTATAAGCGTATGGAGTTCGGAACCTTCAAGGCGCACGGGCGTGAGCTGATCCTTGTTGTACTGCGCGAATGCACCGCTTGCACCCTCCTTCAGAAGACTATCGTTGTTTAGTAACACTCTCACATCATTAAATACTTCGTTAAATTCGCCTGGTGGTGAATGTAATATGAAATCTGAAACAATTCTCACTTTTTCCTGATCACTAATCACTTCGTCACCGTCCGCCGCCATTTTTGATACTTTTGACTTTTTGACACTGACATAGATAACTTGTAACCATAACTATTAAGCAGTCAATGACGGAAGGAACATACTGCAAGTCGAGTGCATTTGGACGCAGTGTAATAAATTCTGCATAGAGAGCATACTTTCGAACTGATAACTAAACAGCCATTAAAAATTATCCGTTTCACAACATTGTAACATTTTTACAGACCTACAAGAATATTGCCTTATTTTAGCTAAAAAATGCAATCTTACATTGTACAATATATAACACATTAATTTATACTGCTTGAAGTCCTCAAGCTAGTGCTACTTGCTACTCGAATAATGCTTTAGAGATTTAAACAAATAATCTTTTTGTCTGAAACATAGCAAAAATGAACATCAACTTGCCTTATCCTAAATTTTAAAAATGTATTTTCAGAAAAATTGACATTTTGTGTCAATATCAAACAGTGTCACTGTCAACTGTCAAACGGTATTGTGTAACTTCTTTTCGAAAAAGTTGTGCTTATCGTACAATAATAATGTCGTTACTTACTTACAAATACTACGATACGCCGGAGGGTCAAGATATTTATAAGAAAGCATTTGTTACAACCAAATATGCTACCTTGGCAGGTTTTGCTGCGGCTACGTTCGACGTTTTAATGTTCTCACATCCAAAAGGTATCGTGAACACCACAGGGCGATATATGTTTTACGTCGGCCCTTTGGTCGGTATGGCCACGGCTTTTACAGTTACAGCAAACGTTGCTCAAAACATGAGAGGGAAAAACGATGGCCTTAATTACTTCTTGGGAGGAGCAGCGGCGGGTTCAATTTTGAGCGCTTGGACGAGATCTCTGACTATTGCTTTGCCAGCGGTTTGCGTACTGGGAGGTGCCGCCCTTGTAAAGAAGGCTGCCGTTGATAATGGCTGGGTTCTTGTACCCAAGGTACCTCCTAGTGCTACAAAAACTATTAAATCTGTTAGACACGACTGGACAATGGCCAAGGACATAGAGGAGCTTAAGACATGGACCACAGGTAATTTACAATATAATTACTCAGTCCTAGCTATTTACAAGCAGTATTAATCATTGTTAACTCAATTTATTAGATTCTCTTCAGACCACAATAATATTACTTCAAAATATTTATTTTGTATTCATTCTCATTTTAATGTAGAATACCTAATACAATTATGTATTGTTGAGTAAAATATATATTTTTTTATTTACTAATATTTCTTGAACCTTTCCAAGTAAGCTCTAAGCTTGTGCTAGGATATGGTATTCAACAATAGTAGAAAAGTGGGATTTGAACTCTCTAACATGTGATTGGAAATCCGTACCCTTACCATTAGGCTATTTGCTCTCTTATTAATCAAAATATTGTAGAATTTTTACAGACCAGTGTTATAAAACTTTATTGTGTGTAATCAATAAAGACATGAAAATGTTTAAAAAGTAATTCTTTATGTTACATGTGTTTCAGGTAACAAGTGAGATGGTGGAAATCAGCCAGCCAGTAGTGTGTACATACAAATGCAATATGAGTTATGTTAAATTATATGCTTTAAAAATTTGGTAAAATTTGTATTATTTAAACCATCATAGTTTTTAAAATCCATGTGCTGTTTTCTTTTAGAGCACCTTATTTTTAAACGGTCAAACCATTAAAGGCTAAAGGCTTAATTTTTGCCAGCCAGTGTTAGTTATTGCTGGTTAAATGAGCAGTGAAAGATTCTCATTTAAATGTACCACATCATCTCTGCTACCATTTTACTTATTTTCAATATTTACGGGCTGAAGTAGCTTTGCTATTAACAAAATTAGGTGACCATCTTTTTATAAGACAAGAGGGCTAACAAGCTGCGGGAACACCAAGATGTTCATTGCCCATAGACATCAGCAATACCAGAGATGAGATAGTGATACCACTTGCTCATTAGCCAATTTCTACTATGAAAACTTGATTATTTATAAAGGTAGGAAATAAAAAAAATCAATGTTAAAATTTTTATTTTTAATCAACAAAAACAATTCAAAGCAACATAACAAAAATGCTATTGTTAAATGTATAAGTGTTACCATTATTAATTTGTCTATGATACGTCGATAAAATAACGTCGAATAAAATAGGAATGTCCAAGCGTCGCGACAAAAGGTATTCTTTATGTTATTAGGAGGCGAGCAGAACATTAAAAATGGAACATAAAGCTAATTTTTCACAATAAATGTAACTATAAAGAATTTTTAAATATTTAACATGAAATAATCTTAAATGCATAATCTTTACTACCGCAATCTCACACAGTGCAATATAATCTAGAATATTGATTTTTTTAGGTTTAATCCTATAATAAACATTGTATTTTATTACTTAATTTTAAAAACATTTCAGTGTATCAAAATGTATAGCAAATATTTATCAAATTTTTCCATAAACAGAAGTCTATGGTTTGTTTTATTTTGAGATGTTTTGTTGGTAACACTGAAATGTTTTTGATGTTATAAAAATGTAAAAGTAAATGTTACGATATAACATCTGTTAATATAAAATTCTAAATTTATAAAATCGCAACACACAATTGTATATAAATAAATTTATAAGACATTTGGCTAAAAAACTGACTATAAATTTAAAAAAAAACGAAACAGTTCAATAGCTTTACATTTAAAAACTTCTTGCAAGACAGATTTCAAGATATTGAAGGGATATTAAGAAAAATAAATTCCATGTCGTAATTAAGACGTGCTAAATTACTCAAAAAGCTACAAGTAAAATTTGGCACTCAAACACAACTTACAGGTTTTGCAAACCATTTGAATTCACTCCTTCAAATAAATTACGAAGGTTTGACATAAATTTTCATATGAATTTTCTAAAAAAAACTTTCACAGATTAAAAAAAAAGTTATAGAATTTTTTTTTACAGTATTTATCGAAGTTAGCAACATTACAATTGAAATAATAAATTAAAAATTGTCTATGGAACGAAAAATAAAAATAAATTCGAGAATTATTAAATTTCCATTATTATTTACCTACACTTAAATCTACTTCAGTATTAGTTCAAACGCTACAATGTTCTAAAATCAGTTCATTTAGACTACTTATTTGTCTTTGGTGCGTTTTTTGGTTCAATTATTTCTTCTTCATCTTCCTCAATCTCCTCTTCCTCGACTTCTTCTTCTATTATTTCTTCTTCAATCTCTATTTCTTCTATCTCCTCTTCTATTTCTTCTTCTGATAAGTCATCTTCTTTCTATAGGAATATTTAATTTTATACAGTTGCTATAAACACATTCTACTTTTTTCATATCCTACTATAAATATAATAACAATATTATAAATGCGAATGTTTGGATGGATGTGTATTTGAAGATATCTCCAGAACTGCTGAACGGATCTTGATGAAATTTGGCATGATGCAGAACATAGTCTGGAAGAACACATAGGCTAAAGTTTTTATTAATTCCGCGAGGACGGAATCGAAGGTGACAACTAGTCAAGACATAAAGGATAATTTGGGGGATTTTCGTATATATTTTCTGTACTAATAAATTAACAATTTACCTCAGCAGGTTGTGTCATGGCGCTGGCGGTTGTAAAGTCGTCCATTGTCGACTCTGCAACGTAAACAAAATATTTTTGATGAATTTCAAGTATATTTCCATTATTATTAACTTTAGATGTATTTAATATAAATGGATATTGTTACCAATTACATGATTACACATAAATATTAATTGGTTTCATTTAATTAAGTAAGAGAGAACTGACCAGGATCTCTCTCTGGCGTGTCGCGCGGCGCGTCCTGTATCAAGGACAGTGTCATCTTACCGCTCACTACCAACTGTAAGAACAAGATTATTGTTAAAAAAGCAGAAAAAATCATTTATTTATAAAGAATTTGTAAATGGAATCTCAATCAATTTACTTTAATACTTGATAAATTGAGTGTGACTCATTTTACAACTGCTCTATAAATTGAGTGTGACTCAATTTTACAACTGCTCTATAAATTGAGAGTGACTAAACTTACAACTGCTCTATAAATTGAGTGTGACTCAATTTTACAACTGCTCTATAAATTGAGAGTGACTCAACTAACAACTGCTCCATAAATTGAGTGTGACTCAATTTTACAACTGCTCTATAAATTGAGAGTGACTCAACTTACAACTGCTCTATAAATTGAGTGTGACTCAATTTTACAACTGCTCTAGAAATTGAGTGTGACTCAATTTACAACCGCTCAATAAATTGAGTGCGACTCACTGGTGCGTGTTTGGCGGGTTTGGGCCTGTCGGTCCTGTCCGCGAAGTCTGCGACCAGGACGCGCGTCTGCTGCGGGATCTCCGTCTCCAAGTATATTGACTTCACGTCTGCTGCTTCATGCTAAAAGTGCAATTAATTTTGTTTTTGTTCTTTCATTTGTTTTTATGAATAACTCAATTGTACTATATAATTAATAAGAAGGAAGGCAATATCTATCGTAGATCGACATCTGGTGGTTCTCCACGCAGAGTATGATAAGGACAGAGAGATCTTGATCTTATAATATTTATATAAATCTACAAGTAGTTGGCTCACTTGTGGTTTCTGTGGCTGAGTGGTCTGTGCGGGGAGCGGCGGCTGCGCGCCGGGACAGGCGCCGCCGTCCGCCGCGTGCGTCGTCACCTCCATACCCACCACCTTTTTTACAATGTTGCCATGTACAAACATATTCAAAAAAATACCATCAAACGAGGCACAGAAATCTGACCATTTAAGCTTGATTTAGGTTTTTTTACTGATAGGACATTTTGTGCGATTTTTAATGTTTTGTATTAAGTTACATGGTTTAAAAATATAGGTAAGTAAAGGTAATAAAAACTTAAATGTATAATAGTTTTTTTTTTAAAGTATTAGTTTATCGTCTTAATATACATTCAATAGTAGCGGCATCAAAAGAAATGATTGAAAACTAACTTTAACACTTGGACTCTCTTGTTCTCCATCTTCTTCCTCTTTCAATAGTTCTTCCATCAGCGCATCTTCCAGCAGTTCTGTGGGAGATCGTTTTTCTTCATTATTTTCATCCTTTTCTTCTTCAATAAACTTCGCAATACTTTCTGCTAACGGTACCTCTTTAGTTATTTCTTTACCTTCTGATAATGCAATTAAATCGACATCTTTATTTCTTAATTCTTCTTCATTTACTTCTGTATCTGGCTTTACAGTACTTTCTTCTGTCTTGTTTGTTGAAGTTTCTCTATTTGTTTCTTTGTCTGTTTGCTCCGGGGTTATCTGATCCTGCTCAAGTTTTGTTATTTTTTCCACGCCTGCATCTTTTATGGTCTCAACATTCTTTTCTGATATTTGAGGTTCAATAACTTTCGACTCAATTTCATTCTCTTTGTCTTGGGTTTGTTTCTCGTTTGCCGCTAAAGGTTCGAATGTTAAATCATCAGTTGAATTTTCTATACGAGTTTCAATATCTTTTTCAACATTTCCTGTGTCTTTAGATTGCGTCGGTACTTCTGGGGTTGTTTCTTTTTCTTTGGGTTCATTTTTCTGTTCATTTATATTTTTCTCTTTAGATTCTTGGAATTCACTAGCTATTATTTGTACGGGGCCACTGTTCAATAAAATTGTTCCATTTGTATACGGACGAGTGTTATCCTGTGGCTCCTGTAATTTGAAAAAAAAAATGCGTTTTAGTTTAAATATCTTGCAAATTTTGCAATACATTAAGGCTATATCGGCACTAAAACTAGTCAAAACACACCTGGCCGAAAAACCAACAAAAAAACAAATATAGACCATTAAAAAGCATAAAAAAAGAAACATCTTAAACATTCAATAAAAAAGCATAGTTTACATTTATAATTGCTTATTAAAAACTACTTTTATATTAATCTAAGCACAACACTCAATCTATTTAAAACAATCTACATTTATTCCCAAAAAGACCAAACAAAAAAAAACAATAAGAAAAGTGCTAAAACATAAGAAAAAAAATGAAATGTAGAAGTGTTAAAAATAAATTACTATTTTTCTTCAGTTATTTTTTTTATAGATATTTCAGTTTCTGATATTTTTTTGGTATTTTTGTTAGATGGCAACTCAGTGTAATCAGTCAACCGATGGCGGGAAGAACGTCAGTTACAGATGTAAAAATAAAAAAGTGGGTTTGACATGCAAAGAAAAAAATAACAACAAAAATTAAAACTTAATAAATTGAAATAAAGGTAAAAAATAAATTTTGTTATTTTAATTGAAATTGTAGTCAAATATTATGACTAACTAGTATATGGAAAGAATGACAACTAGGCCAATATCATTAGTGATTTTTGAGGTCACTTAAAATAAATAACAAATAGTTTCATGTCAAAGTCAACGGAACCATCAATTCAACTTTACCACAGCGAACAGATTGACAAGTCTGCAGTGAAGCGGGAAAATTTGCGCGCCAAAGATATTTTGAGGTTATTACCGATTTGTAAAGAGGTTACATGGATTTGCCAAATATGCATGCATTTCAATCCTCAATAATAAAGTTTCGTAACACTCATATTGATACTAATAATAAACAATATTGTTGTTTTCATTGTAATATTTTTTTTTTATTTTAGAGTCACAGAAACGAGACTGAAAACCCTTTTCTTTGACGTTAAATGAAAGAAGATAATTAGAAGACACTAGACTTTCTAGAACTTTATATGTTACTATGATGTTTTTATTAGAAATTATCTGCATATGTTAAATAATTTGTTTACAAGACACACGTTAAGATAGGAGTTTAGGTACAGGGGGAAATTTTACAAAAAATCAACAAATAAAAAAAATAGCACAAAATAAAATAAAAAATACCAGTATTACACTTGTATATTATATTATATGACTACATGTGAAGATTTGTATGTGAATCTACACTAAGGGATTGTTTATGTATTCATTTAATAACTCAGAATAACAGAACTGCGAATTATATAGTTAATTGTTGTAAATAAAATTAATAGCAGTGTCAAATAATATTTTAATTATTAATTTTAATAATGGCAGCATTACTTTTAGTTATGTCACAAAAATCACAGATTGTAAAAATGGTATGTATTGAAGTGTCAGTGTGATATATCATATCTTTACTACCAAAATAATTATTATAAAACAGACAATATCGACCTGCGTTTTTGTAATATCACGCGTGGCTTGTATATTGAAGAAGTGGTATATAATATACTGTAAAGATTGTAAATGTAATATACAAGTGTAAATCTGGTATATTGGGTGTGGTATTGGTTGTGGGGCATGCAGTGACCTGCCGCGCGTCGCCCGCCTCCATCTGCTGCCGCACCTCCGCCACCAGGCCTGAGATGGCCGTCACAACTGCGCGCCACAAATGTTGCCATTAATTTAACGTTATTTTGTAACGTCTAGTTACAAATATTATTCCTTTTTAATGTTTAAGTGAATTTAAAAGATTTTGAATTGTTGCTGTTTTATCTTTATTATAAAAATAATCTTCAACTGTATTTTTATTTTTATTAAATTAAAAATAGAATTTTCTTCTAAATTATTTTATCTTAAACAAAACAACTAAAATAAATAATTATAAAAATATAGCGAAGGACGCTAAGACCAAAATAACTGGTTCAACAGACGATTGGGCTTGCACCCTGGACCGTAGCCAATTGCTATTATAATGTATAATATACTTCAACATTGCATTTCAACTGGCATTCTTGATAAAATCATTGCCTTTTTGAAGTAAAAGTAGAAAAAAAAACAAATGTCAAAGTGACAGTCCATATGTCAATTGTTTTACGATAAAAAATATCAAAAGTAAATCTGATGAAGTTATAAAAAAAGTAATATAAAATATAAAACTAAAAATAGGAAACAAAAAATAAAAAAATAGGAAGTATCAATGCAGGATCGTTAATTACCGGAAATAAAAAAAATAAACATGATTTTAGTTTTACAATACACGTCAATCTAATTAGGACTAGGAATAAAGTTGCATAATTTCTGCCACAGCCGTCAAAACGCATTCATTTTGGTCTTGCGTGCAGAAATCACAGGCCCGTAAGTAAAAGGACCTAACCGTCACCATGCCGCAAGCTACTATGGTGACAACTAAGGTAACACCACGCATATTTGAAAAAAAGCTCTTGTTTAAGTTGGATTGCCAGTACAAAAAAATTTCCTTAAAATTCTGGATATTTAACATTAACATAGATCTAATAAATTTTAGATGAAAATATTAGCAAGCATATTTGTTGCTTGGTTTAGATGTTAAAACGTTTGGATCAATTATCCAACAGGAAATTGTCGGACCTTCAAATATGACCTATATAGTATGATCTATAAAATGCATGGCAATCCAACTAATCACAGGCCCCGCAGGCTGGTACCGCGTCGTGGAGCGCCAGTTGGCGGACGATCCTTTGCATGGCGCGCTCAGTCTCCGCCAGCCGCGCGCGGAGAGCCTCCAGCTCCACGTCCCCTAAGTTACATCACACACCTACGTTAATATCTAAAACTTTCGGGAATATTCTACAATATTCTAGACTTTCTATATCCGACCTAACTTCGTATAGGTAGATAACTGTAGTTATTTTCGGTGGACGAGGAGTGGCAAATATAAAATGCTTTTTTTTTTGCTACAAAATTTTACAACTAAATTAAAATTAATATCTAACCAATATAAAAATTTACAAGGTGTGGCAAATTTTTAGGACAATTTTGATCTATAATAGTGCCAAATTTTTTAATTATTATATTTGTAAATTTAGCCATGAGTTATTTTTTGTTTTAGTGAATACAAAAATACAATCCTAATAATAGATGGCCACTAACAATGCAATGATAATTATAACGATTATTCATTGCGTTGCATTCAACGTGTGATTCACTGCATTTCATATTTATAAAAGAAAACGTGATGTCATATAGCTATCGTATATTATATACATAAATAATTAAATAAACACTCGAGAATATAAGCCAGGGAGAAAAACCTGCGCTATAATTAACAATTTTTGCATAATTGTTAATTAATATTTACAAATTTAACGAGCAATTCTATGAATCGATAATCAAAATTCATCGAAATTTACATCTCATTAATTAAAAATATTATTTTTAGTACAACATAGTTGCATTTTATTATTTTAAATTTATCAATTTTAATACGATAACGGGTGTTTCCTGCCCGCTTTACAAGCAGCCAATTAAAAATATAAAATTAATTAAAAAGAATGAGAATTAAAAAAATAACGATGTACTCACTCGCATCCCTCTCCTTTGGTCCTGCGTGCGCAAGAAATAAACCAAAGACTACATTTTAACACTTTCAGTGTAATCGTCTCTGACATGTTGGATTTATACGAAAAAAATCTTAACGGCATGAAACGTGTTAAAATAGAGATTTCACTAACGACATTTTTACATAAATGTAGTTACATAGTGAAGGAATAAAACTAAGAAATAAGAACGACTTATCAAGAATCAAATAATCTTGTTCTTTTCACACTGGCAACATTTCCTGATAAAACTATCGTTGCCGTTGATGTATCGTCTACTAATTAATAATAAAATTTTGGTCTCACCTAACTTATCAGGCGAGGAACGGGAGTCATCACGAAACACCCTCCTCCTGAACTGAGGGTCTGGGGTGACGCTCTCGTACGGAGTCCCTGTGCGCTTGAACAGGATCTGGGGATGAGGAATATGTGATATAGTCAGCAAGAAAATTGGAACTACCCTTTTTTGATTTAGTATGTGGACTGTCCATGGAAAATATTAGAATTCTAGATTGAATTATTGTTTGTAAGCGTAGAATTTCGATCATTTTTTTTTATTAAAAAATTAATATTCAATTGAACTAGCAAATTGTTGATACTGAAAACCTAAATGCCAAGTTTGAACTCTTTAGGCGTGCTATTTACGCTGTGATAAATATTTCTAGATACATGCTTAAACCCACTTTTGAGATGATATAGAGTATTAATTTGATATGACCATGAATACTTTAATTATCCTGAAAATAAATTTCATGAATACACAGGTTAGATTTCGAGAATATTCGACGTCATATTTTATTGCACAAAATTATAAAATATACTACTATCTTACCTTACTAAGTGTATACACGAAGAATACTATGATACATATAGTGTATATGGGCATGACGAATCCCATTGAAGATTTGGGTGCCGGCACGGGCCCACCGGGGGAGCCTAGCGGTGGACGCATGCCGGGGATCGGTGGGGGCTGCAACATACATACAGGTTATCTTAACTTCTTAAAATAATTGAAAACAAAAATACACGGAGTGAAACATATTAAAGCTGTATAAAATCATTAAAAAGGTAAAATAACTTTCCATACAAAGTGACAACTATTAGACTTAAATTAATTTAACAAGATGAAAAACGTGTTCAGTTCAATTATTTCCTTATTATATCGGCAAAGTTCAAGTAAGATTTATATATTACGTTTTATTATAATGTATAAAAACCTTATTCGTGATATCCTTCATGGCTAGTGGATGGAACTGCGTACTGGCACAAATGTGGACTATTTATAATGATTACAGTAATTTTATATTTTTATAAATCGCATTGAGGCGACGCGACGCGCGCATCTCACAGAGACTACGCAGTAAACACTGGCCGGTCAGGATTTTACGACATCAATACTCCATGGTTTCCTGTCTTACGAATAGCCTATAGAAATATATGGGGCACTATGATATTAAATTTAAATTATATTTGCGTATAGATTTATCATTTTATAAAACTGATATGTGTATAAACATTTGCGTTACCTTTAATAAATAAATTGCAAATTTCTACTGTTGCTTAAATTTATAGATATGGCTGGTAACAATACGTTTGTTTTTATAACTAATTAAAAAAATGTCTATCGCATTCAGGACCACGTACAACAATTACTATATTACGTATGTTAACTTAAACAGTGAGTTTGAATAGACTACAGTGTAGGCGTTCGAAGTACATCATTACAACTGTTGGCGTTTACATTGAGAAACAAATTGATTTGACACATTTTAACAATGACTTATCAAAGTTCCATTGATTGTTTTACGTTTGATTCGGAACTTAGGTAATAATAGCTGTCGCCTGCGACTCCGTCCGCGCGGTATTAAAAAAAACATAATAAGTAGCCTATATGTTCTTCCAAACTATGCCAAATTTCAGTGAGATCCGTTGAGCCGTTCCAGTGATATCTTTAGACAAACATCCATCCGTCCATCTAAACATTCGCATTTATAATATTAGTAAGATTAATAATATAACGAATGTTATGTATCGTCTTTTGTTATGAATAACCATGGGTTTCTGATACCGAAATCTGTGTATAAAACATATCTTCATCCCTGTCTTTATCCTTGACAAAACATGTATTAAACGGGGTTTTCTGGTATCAGAAACCCTCTGTAAATTATTCTTCGTGTTAACATTACGCTTTCCACTAACAAAACACTTGTATAATAAACATATTATAATCCCTTTCATTCACTTATAAAAGAAAAAAACAAAAATATGTTTCTATGTTTCTGCAGTGGAATTACAGCCAGAATAAACATGTTAACAATCCTATTTAACGCGTTAACAAATAGAATAGTTTTCATAGCACCTAGGCTAGTCCGTTACATAAAAGCCCATCTACAAATTGAAGTGTTATAACAAACAAAGAGACAAGGCGGGAGGTGGGTCGTACAACATTGTATTTTATGACTGCACTTCAATATAACACTAAAACTACACAATACAAACGAAAGTAGTTATATAACTCGTACGTATTTAAATAAAGCTTTTAAATAGCTACTGTAATACTTTAAAAATTATCTTAATTGTTAAAAGAATGAATGAAGAGAGTAAAAACGCTACATAATTTTAGACATTATTAATTAGAATCCTTTGACGCGAATGACGTGCTTTCGTTACAAAGTCAAGTGTCAGAATGAATAGTGAGAGGACATAAACGTCGACATTTTAGTAAGGCTAGTGTTGCGTCAATATACTGGCACATTTTTGGATTTTCTTCTTAACAATAATTGAATTAGTAATTGGCAACTTTCAGTTAAGGAACGTCTTAGAAAGTTTCAGTATGTTTACCCTGTTAACTTGCACATTATTTTTGCTTTATCAAAGAGTAAAAGGAATGTCACTTATTTTGTATACAAGTTATTTAAGCGTAAACCCACCATCAGAAAGACCACTTCAAAGATTTTTCTCTTACACATTCCGCTGTCATATTAAGATTCTTTAAATATTCGTAATGCAAGTAAGAATGAAAGGCGGATTCACCAAAATAACACCACCCAAGGACGACTAGTCTATGCGTCTATACGTTCAGCAAATACATTACTAACCAGGTATCACAAGATTCAAAGTTTATGAAGGCTTGGTGCATAAGCTCGACTTGTAGAGCCACTAGGTGGTAGAAAGGACACGCAAGGGTGTCCCGAAATACATCTCTCTACGTCACGCCAATACTTAATATTTATTATATAGCACCTTGTGTGCAATTGCGAGTACCTATCGAAAGTTTTAAGTATGTCTTGATCGTTAAACTACAGTCGAACCAGGATAAACGCGAGTTCAAGGGACCGCGAAATTTTTCTCACTTTTAGAGTTCACCCGAGTTTTTCAACGACTCTCACGATTCCATAGCGAACTTCAAAAATGTATAGAACTTACAATAACTATCGATAAGTCATGTGATTTTTGCCAATTTCATATATTTTTTAAATTCCTTATGGAATAGCTTCAAAGCGAAAGCTAACCTAACCCCCTAGTTCCACTATATAGTAATTCAAAATTATGTGTCCAGTCACTTGGCCAGGGTTTTTCACTAAGACCTTGTTACCTCTTACTTGGGAAAGGCTTAGGTTCGGTGGTGACGTATGAGAACCATAGTTTTATCTGGTAACCAGTATTATATTGCTAATTTATAAATCACTTTATTTATTTAATCTTTTCATTTTGACGTCATCCATTGTCATTGCGCCGCTGCCACTCAAGCAAATGACCGAAACATTTAACTTGTCTAGCATCATATTATCATGTAAAATATTTTGTTACATTGCACCATTAAAGGTATTTGTCTTCAGTATTTCGTAAATCTATATATTTGACAAGGAAATGTAGGTAAAGCCGTGCTTGGCATACGTTTATTAACCTACTAGCTGTTGCCCGCTATTCCATCCGCGCGGGTTTAAAAAAAAAAAACTTAATTAGTAGCCTATGTCTTCTGCCAGACTGTGTTCTACATTTATGCCTAATGTCAGCAAGATCCATGCAAACGTTCTGGAGATACCTTCAAACAAACATCAATCAATCCTTCTAAACGCTTGCATTTTTAATATTAGTAAGATTATATCAGAAACGGCCGGTAAATTAAATTGTGTCGCTATTGCACGAGATGCGTACTGACGTAACTGTGACGTCACAAGACAATGTCGTTAGGCGGGACGTCGCCCGTATGACACTAACCGACAGGCCACAACTTTGACACTGAGCCAAATGCTATTCGAGGAAGTTTGAACAGCTGTTGCAAAAGGTGTGCAGCCATCACAGATTTATATTGATACTTTGCTTTTAAAAGAAAAAGTGAGGAGAAAGTTCAGCTGATATTCTGCCATCTTTGATGCGTTTTAGAGTCTTTATTTGGATCGGATGTAAAATCTACGCGACTTAATGCAAAATTTAAATAAAATACATTTTAACATGCCAACATTTTGTACTTAACTGAGAAACAGCTATATAGTAACTAATAACTTTCCATATATTTAGTTTAATTTTTCCAAAATCTATAAAAATTAATTTAAAATATCCATTCACGTCCATATAAAGTAAATCTTTAAATGTAATAACAATCAATTTACAAATTTCATAAATACCAATCGCTTATAACTTGTACCACACCCCAAAGTTTGATAAAAAGAATCAACAGCAAACGCGCATGATGTCATAGACATTATTTTTGGAGCAAAGCGCGCCCTTGTTGCTGCCAGCTTACATAACACCGCAATAAGATACTGAATGCAACATATAGAAGAATCTATGCATTATTTTTATTTTGTCTATGGTCCTTATAAAGTATTACTCTAAAATTATTATTGATTTCTACATAGACTTGTTCGTAATGTTACTTGAGTATTAAACTAAAGTCCTTGACACCGTAACGATGGATATTATTTTGAGTAAACACTATTGCTCTCAACCTGGTGGGGTAGGCAGATATCCTGTATTTCCATTGTTATAGGTAGTAATTTTTCTTTTGTAAATCTATAAATCTAAGAAAAACTGGTCGTCGGTTACAGATTATCACACGACGTATGCTGATATTAAATTCACTTATTTAATAGTATTAACTTACCTTATATGGGAATCTTAATATAATTATTAAAACAAACAAGTTTAATTACTAAATAAATTTATTATATCTACTTCACACACTAAACTACGAACATACTTACAGGTTAATTGTGAGTCAGCTGATGCTTAGCGCTACCAGTTAGACTTATTTTGGAAGTCACCTTCTTTGGTAAGCGCAACCATAGCCTGTAGACTTATTTTTTTTTAATACATCGTAAATATATTTCAGTGCCTGTGTGCTCATCCATAACTAACTAGTAAAAAGCAGCCACTTTAAATTGCAATATGTACTTGCATTGAATGTTTTTTGGGCAATCCTGTGAGCAACCTACACACTAGGCAACATATTTTTGTTTTCTCATTCCCAGTTCATTATTGCCAAAGGCCATGTATTTCAAGTCACTGCCTTGCTAAACCATCGAAGGCGACTTCCAGTCCTACCTGCAGAAGCTGGCACACTGTCACACCGTCGACTGACCTTGATCTCAATATCGTAGTACACAGAGAGTGGGGAGGTTCGTACCCTAACGTGCGGTGGTAGAGGAGTCGGTGGCCTTGGCTGGACGGGCGGCACTCCTGGGGGAATCGCTCGCCCTCTTTCTCGCAGTGCGGGATGAGGTCCCATACCCCGAATTGGTGACCGCTCTTGCTTTAACGCTGTTGAATGACAATTTAAATTAAAAGTGTAATTTGGGAAGGAGAATATTTATGGTTGAACTGGAATTGTATTAATGCAGGGTTTAGTCGTCGTTAACTCCATGTTAAAACGTGCATTTCTTACACGAAAACACAAAAAAACTTTATTATTGACAAAACATGTTAATTACAGATCACCTACTTTGTTATTATCAATTTATTTTCTTAATAATTAATGTACCTACATATAAAAAAAAACACTTTTCAAATTAGTCAACCAAACACACAAGGCAGTTTTGTTTCAGTTAAATCATATTTTTGGGGGCAAAAAACTTGTCTTTAGTTGTTTAAGCCATTTGCGGTAACCCTAATCCAAAAACTGAAATATAAACTTATTACAGAATTCCTTATCGCGATGGTGTGTTAAAAAATTCCAAATATAGAAGCATCATAGATACTGTTGACTCATTGGCGTCAAGTTGCCAACATGTGATTAACAGCCAGGCGTCGACCCTCGGCTCTAGCGGGAAATATGTGACCCGAAAAGACGCCGCGACCAAACTGGCGCGGATAAAATTCATGATTACTAGGCACAAGTCATAACTTCATGGCGGAATAAATGAACTTACGAGTTAAAGTTATAATTAAATTATTTTTACGGACCGAAAGCGCTTATTGGCTGGCGTTCCCTACAAAGGTGCTTACATTAAACAAAGTATACTTCATTTTTTTAAAGTATAAAATCTTTGTAAAGATTGCATAATTATGTACTTAATTAACGAGACATCTCCAGCAAAAATATAGATGTTAAAATAAATTTAAATTCCGCTATCGCTTATCGCTCAGACCAACGTTGGCTGTACAATTCGACCCAGTTTGTCAATTGTCGTATTACCTAATTTGTGTATAAAACCATATGGGACCAAGGCCCGCAGCTCCATCGACATAGACCACGATAGGCCAACGGCTACGCAAATCGTGCGGACAAATTGTTTACTTTATGTAGCAGATGCTCAAATTGTTTCCACGATACGTCATTTCTCGGTAAAAAAAACGGATGCCAACAATGACTATTTCCAAAAATGATATCACTTTGACAACATGTAGTTTTTAAACACCCTATAGAAACAAATTGTCTTATGCCAATTTTTTATTAGACACAGATGTCCTGAAAAGATCACAACCTTGACCAGAAAATCGGTAGATCAAACTTTAGGATTAGTATCTCAGACCACCGTACTTATCATTTAACTGCGCTACTGCGCAAGTTAACACCTTTACTGGATTGTAGGTTTGTAGGACTGTTGAGGTTGACTTATGCAAAGTTGTCTTAGAACGATGTCGCTGAGTAAATACGTTAGATGCGCTTGCGCAGTTTCGACATAAGAGGTGCGACGCTAAGTGCCGTGCCACACTTACTGACGTTTAGACATCATTAGCACACGATCCGTTTTGTGAAATATTTGAAACTGAACACAAGTAAAGAGAACAGTGGAGAAAGTTCAAAGATTTCCATTCAAGTTTTACTAGAATGCCTATAAGAAACATCATATATCAATATTAAAAAAAAAAACTTAGTACTAATCACAGCTTCACTATATTTGTTAGGAACAAGGCCTATTCGATCTATACACAAGGATATGTGGCATAATAATTTGCCCCTCATAACTAATATATTTATTTAACAAAGACGTGTGAAGATCATACGTTTTTACGAGTACCTACCGATCTGTGAATATTTGATTTATGCTTTATTTATAAAGAGAAGCAATTTTGAATAAAAATTGTAAAATCAAAAACTATAAGAGAAATTCACAGAAGCTACAAAATGCACATAATTCTTGTTCCCATTAATTCCCATAAACTTTGTAACAACATTGATTGTAATTTAGGTAAACTGCGAATAATTGTACTTATTACTTATCAGTTTTACCCGTAACTTTGTTTTTCTATTAGAAGGTAATATTTAATTTGCATAATAAAGATGGCAAAGAATTGTCCGTGGTTCATAAGTCCATAAGTAACCGCGTGACGGCCGCGCCCCGTCGCGACCTCACGCGGACATCTAACAATGTCGTCTCAAATACTTTTGTTCTTAACAAACGAGAAAACGAGTCTTGAGTAGCGTCACTAACCGAGACGCGAAAGCGGTACACTGTTTACATTTGCGCATGAACCGGAAGATACACAACGGAATATTTGTCATACGACTTCTCTCCGGTCAGATTAGTAATCCAAAGATTTCTTAAACGAACCCTTAAAAAGGAATGCATTACAAAAATCATTCACTTATTGAAGACAAGCATCAGTTAAAAGCGTCGGTGGCTTAGGGGTTAAGGTTGACTTGTAATCTGCAGGTCCTCTGTTCGAGTCCTGCCATGTACCATTTTTCCTACGTTCTTACGGTGAGGGGAAACATCGCGATGCAACCTGCACGTATCTGCAAAGAAATTCAAAGATATGTGTGAAATCAAACCGCACTGGGCCAGCGTGTATGACTATGGCCTAGTCACCTTTAACATAGAGTAGGCTCCGAGCCCCTCAGTGAGGACGTATAGTGAGCTGATGATGATGATCTGACTAAATGTAGATTTATTAGAGGTATGCACAGCAAAGATCTGATAATGTAATCATTAAACGCTTCTATATCAGTAAAACAGTTAACTTTAATTACGCTATCTAATCAATTCCATGACTAAACCGTGTCATGGTACCAAGACCTAACAAACGGTTGCCCTTACGCAAAGAATGTTGTAGAACATCAATAGGTCGCATTAGTAGTCGCCACCATGCGCAGGCGCAGCACACCTCAGTGAATTTAAACCACATTTGACTAGGAATTCGTCACGATACGAATATGTGGTTATGTTACATCTACAAGTAACTTGAATTTGTTTAATAGTACGAGGTGAGTAACGACTAAAGCTAGACAGTGTTATAAAACAAATTGATTGCTACCAATAGACAATAAGAAGCTAGAATAGGAATATATAAAAATGTTATATATTTAGCGGTAAAAATAGGTTTATTATTTTTAAATCGTTCATATTCCTTAGAATTTTTTTCATAAATATTATGATGTCGAATGCGCAACATTTCCTGGAAGGGTTTTTACCAGGAATTCGTGTTCAGGAATATTGTAATGTACATCTGTTTTATTTTATAATAACTTTTAGGATTCTATTGCAAACGATATTTAAAACGATAATAACAGGATTATATTTATTTATCTTTAAAGTTTTCAGAAACATAAGTTATAGAAAATTTTCATAATTTCTACTAAAAAAAAAACAAAATGAGCCCACCTAAGATGGCCTTATAAGTATATATTTTTTTATTCAAGAAACACGTAAATTCTGTATAACATGTTCAATTTATTTACATTATGTAAGCATTTGGGGTAGGCAGACATTCCACATGTGGGGTCATCAATTTCCCACCAGACCCACATACTTACATAAATCTGTATGGAGACCTAATTCAAACGTTAAGCATTGCAAACATTCGCGAAGTATGCAAACATCAAAGTATAATCTCTTGGTTAGCTGACATTGGTCTTTGAGAAGCTTGGCGCACGCCCAAAAGACCAGGGCCGCTAAAATCGCTCACCCACTTCCATCTTGTTTGTGAAACTATGAATAACAAAAAGCGCATTATGATTGATTGGTACTCAATTATAAGGCGAATTGAAGACAGATATATTTTTTAAATCTTTGCAACGCAAGTACTAAGAAAAAGGAATAATTCAAATCTTAGTAACAACTGGCCAGTTACTACAAAAAGGTTAAATTTTGTAAAAGATGAAAATCAAATCCTTTTTACATTAAAAAATTCCTGATTATTTATGATTAACTCAAAAACTGTACAAAAAAAATGCAGTTTATTAATCAAGTGCTTGTTATTTGATGACAAATTAATATTTTTTTTCATTAATATTACTGGCCAAAAATGTTAGTGGCTAAACTATAAAACTTCATAACTGTTAAGATTAGTATAAAATGCGTTCCACACTAATAAAATCAACTAACTGTCCTGCTGACTCCAAGAGTTCAATGCTGTATGAGTGTTCAAATACAACTGAACACCAAAATGTTCCTTCAAGCATGAACTGTTACTACTCTTCATAGTTTCTAGAAGCATCTTTGTTGTCTTGCCCACATTGTCACTCCGTTTGAGAAAAGCAGCTATATCGAGACCACATGTCTCGTTCACTGCTTTCCGGCATTCAGCCGCTGCATAAGGAGATAGTTTCCCACCAACCCCAACAGCTGAACCGCAAACTTCATTGACAAGCTCCAGCACAGCCACTTCCGTTTCGAACATAACCTCACAGCATCCTAAATATTTTTACAATAAATTGAAAATTATTCAATAACTTCTATATAAATAATTGGAGCATCGGTGGCTCAAGGGTTAAGCACTTGACTTGCAATTGTAGGTCCTGGGTTCAATTGTATAATGTGTCAATGTGGTTTTCAATTTTTGATTTACATATGTACATTTATCCGACATTCTTATAGCGAAGGAAAATATATGTGTTAAGTCAACCAGCACTGAGCCAGCATGATTGACTATGGCCTAGTCACCCCAATCACAGAGTAGGATCCGAAGCCCTCAGTGAGCTGATGATAAACTGATTTTTTTAATTAATCAAGTAACGTGACAGCCATAATATTAAAAGATAAAATTTCCTACAAAACAATTGTTAGTTATGATCTAAACCATATATTTTCCTTGAATTATCAGTACTATATGAATTAATAGGGTCAAATGTTTGTTAAAAAAATTGTAACTTATAAAATTAATGAGTGTGATTGTAACTGTTCAACATTTTAATTAACATTTTTTTTGTTGTTGTTTTCAAACATGTATAACTTTGATAAATTAATCACATTGACTACTTTCCTCCATCAATTAAAAGCATATTTTGTTTTGTTATTCATTAAATTGTAATGGCAAAAATATTTTAACTATTGAGTCAGATAAAAGAATATATTTTATACAGAATCCATTTTATTCCATCTGTATAATATAGGTATTTTGAATAATATTTTATACAGAATTAAAACTTAATAAATCTGTAATGTGGACATGACTTTTATGTTTCTTTTTATTTGATTTTTTAACTAACATTTTATCACATTCAATGATGTAATTTTTTATTATGTTTTTAATCTAGACAAAAAGAAACAGGACTTTAACAGCCAGCAATCATAGCAATCATATGTGGACATATTTTTTATTAATTAAACAAGTACCCGCCTACCACATTCCAATTAGAACTATTGTAAATACAAAAGCTTAGTGTCAACAATTGAACCAAAGAATATTTAACTAGACAAAAGATAATATTGCAAAAGGCAAATAAATTCTTGCTTCATGATTAAGCTAGCAACTCATATTTTAAGATCAACATGGTCATATATAAAAACATTTAACGAATTATTGTAAAGTTCTTTTATTAATTCGAAACTAATCAGTTGCTTCAAGAGATAATGTTATTTTACTAATGGATTTATCATATTACTAAGGGACTAAATGGCTTTTAATACTTTTATTATTTGTATTTTTTCATTAATTAATCATCGACCTAATTAGATTTAGTGCGCGATGAAAACGTCGCGTAATGTGCTGCTATTGACATTGAGCTAAAGTTATAAATACCGACGTTACCTGCCTCCCGGTCGAACTGGTTGGGCTTCAGCTGCTCCTGGGTGTGCCCCAGGATCAGCGGGGACAGTATCCTAGGCCATAAGACGGCGAAACACCCCACAACAATCACTAGAACGAACATTGTCTTACGCGGCCCCAACACTTCGTCGTTCGCCATTCTCTCGTGTTTTTCGTATCGGTTCGTCACGCGCGCACAGAGCCGGTCGCACTCTACGGGAACATCGTCGTGTATGATTAAAAATAAATATCATCCACGGTGCAGCCGCAGCGAATCCGGCGAGAGCACAATGACAGCTGTCAGACTCGCCCCATCGCGCGCTACGGGAGCGATCGCAATTCGAAATTTCTTTACGGGAGCATCCGCCTTTAAGTCTTCTCTCGTTGAACGCCGGTGGATTGAGCTGGCTCGATGTGACACAGCCGTATATCAACGTCAATCAGCTATGCCGACATCTTGCCTTCCCAGCCACCGGCTAAGCTTCCGTTTGCATTTTCAATCACCGTACTTGAAATATTGCCGGAGTAAATAAGCGTTTGGTGGGCAAGCGTGCGGCGCTCGCGAGCAGGCCTCGGTACAATATGCCTGGGCGCGGAGGCGGCGCCGGCTAATAACCCTTCCCCACCGCGGCGTGGTCTACACGCGCTCAGATGAATACCAATTAGACACTCAATGTAGGTACATGTCATTAAACTAGCATAAGGCACAAGAAAAAAAACTCCCTAAACTTGACATAAGTATGTTTCCATCGAATATTTTATTATCATAGGTGCCCGTTGCCCACCAAAGTTGGTAACTACAAATTGATAAAGAACATTCCATTACGTCACATGCGTCTTCATGTATCCAATAATGCTATGACCAATGTTAGAAATTAGTTATTAGTTAGAGTAAGAACTCCAATGACTCCTCAAGTGATCATATTTCCCGAGTTCAGGGTTAAGGTACGGTGCTCAAACATGTGAACAATTACTTCAATTTGTTCTTGGAGTTTTCCTAATTGTGGTAACCCTATGGAATCAGTCATAATAATAAATTTTCAATAAAAGTTTTAGTATACCGTGGAAAAAACATCCGATAGGTTCAGATTTCAAGACACCAAATAAAATCTAAGACCTTAATACGTTTCTTATCGCTATGGATATATATTCAGCTACGGTTGCGCTTACGCTATTGTAAGCAATTAAACATTTGTTATTCCTTATTCCTATTTGTAATTGTTAAATTTGTAAAGCCCACATTTCTCCGACAAAACACACAAGACTAGCATTCATTTGAATTTCATCTTTGTACAACGTAGATCTTTAGCTGCAGTATTTTACACCTCAAATTATGTTAGTTTTTCCATTAACACGTTCCAGAGTTTACCTGCCAGCTATTGTTTTGAGACACGCTAAGAATCTGCTTGTCGTCAAAGGAATAAATTAAAGTGAAAAAAATACTCGGAGCCTATCGTTTTTTTTTTTCATTTCGACAGTTAAAGTGGCCAGGTTATCATTATTCGGGTCACATAGACCCCCTCCTACGAAACAATGGGTAGGTAGCGCTCCTTCGGTCGCAGGAAGCGACGCACGCGCAAGTGTTACAAAATGGCCGATACCGCCATATATTAAAGCGTCGAGGCGGTTATAAGTCTGTCTGGATGCGAAGGAGACAGTCCGCCATAAGGGGAGAGGACATCCTGGTCGGTTTCCGCTGGACAGTTTTGGCTTTAGGGTTACGAGGAAATGCCTCATTTAAATTCATGTGACGGGGCACGTGCTTCCGTATGATGGTGAAGTGTCAAACCTTCATTCGGTAAAAGCTTACTCATAAACTTCCTTAATAAAATAACACATTTAACACGCTGTGGAAAATTTTCTTCCAATTTAGGATCGAAGCTAGGTTATTAAACAAGTAATGTGTTTACCCAAAGGAAAATAGTAGGAAACGAACTAAAGTGGGGATTAACCTTATCTAATAGTTTTTAAATTAATAAGTAATTATTTCTAAAACTCTTGCAGGTTTATATTAAAATGTAGCAAATAAAAACCACAACTATAATACGTAGTCTTCAAAAAGACTCTAATGAAATACTTACTTAATCATATGTTTTGTTTAAATAAGTATTCTTCCAAAATTAAAAAGGTAAATTCTGTTTACAGTAACACGCTTTCTCTTCGGTTGGACAATGATTCAATATTGACACCGACATCTTAGATTACGAATTACGAATTGCGAAACATTAGGTCGTGAGTTCGAATCCGACTACTATCTTCTAGCATCTGCTAGAACTTTTGTTAATTTGAAATGGTTAAAGAGATCTAACTAGTTTATTATTTGTAAATATAAAATCTTACTAATATTAAAAATGCGAATGGATGCATGTTTGTTATAAGTTATCTTCAGAACGGCTGCATAGATCTCGCTGAAATTTGGCATAGATGTAGAAACATAGCTTGGCTATTATATTAACACATAAGCTACTAATTTAGTTTTTTTTTTATTTCACGCAGATGGAGTCGCCGGCGACAGTTAGTAGATTTATAAAGTAAGTTATTGAATGTTATAATTTATGAGTGGATGCGTTTTTGATTTGATCTTGTGTTGGCGTAGCTCTGAGCCCGCGGATCACAGATGAATGGATTCATGATGTAACGAATGACTCATTCAGTTAATCACGCAATTACGCCCTCATTGAGACGACTACGAAGATTGTACATCTTTATATGTTTATTCTGTTTATTAATTTTGTAGTGCTATTATTCTCACGCCTTTTATTATGTTAAAATTCATAGTTAATCATTCATAGAATTCCCACATTTTGATATCAAGTGAAAATGCATTCTGTTTGTACAGCTTCACATAATATCATTCATAATGATAACTTTATTCTTCATCTCTCTAAATCTAAATCTTTAGACAGCTTTTTGGCCAGTATCAATACAAATTAAAAATACTGCAGATAAACAACAAATAGTTCGAGATCGAATATAAAATTCGGTAGTTAATAAGAAAGGGCATCAGTGGAGTAGGCAGAGCTAAGTCCCAACAGTATACGCGCCTGTGGGCGTGGCCTTCGTAACAAATTTCGCCCACATTTATTATTTATCACATTAACAATTTATTTAATGCATCTTTAGAGCTTGCAATTTTGGAATTAATATTATGAATATATTAATTCAAAATGTCGTAGGAATAAATCGAAGGAGGTTTTACGCAAGGGCTTTTGATGGTTTCAATTCATGCATCATAATATCGCGTTTTTTATATCATACGGTGGCAAACGAGCGAGCGGCCACCAGAAATCGCTGAACTAGTGAAGTGACCGTTGCCCATAGACATACGCAATTGCATATGCGTTGCTTTCCATACATCCTCTCATCCGGAAAGTCCACTTCCACTTCCCTTCCTTTCCTTATAAGAAAAAAGGTGGGAAGGGAAAGAGGACTAAATTATGCCCCCGAGACGCACTCTCATCAGAGGAAACGCGGAATTGCTTCCACTTGACGCCTGTCTTCTGTGTGGTCGTGGTATTTCACCGAGCGAGCCGGGCCGATTCGTGCGAAGATGTTAAAGCGGGCTCTACCACTGTTAATGTAGAAATTAAATAGGTACTTAGTTAATTGACAATGACGGCGACACACTTTGATTTGTAATAACTATCACCACACCACACATTACAATCCTGACTTCGATACCGAGGTGTTATTTCGTATTATGTCGTTACACATTTATCCGATGCCCTTACGGCTAAAAAAAACGTATGCAAGTTGCACATATGAAGAAATGCAAACATGTAAAGTTGACCAATCACCACTGGGCAGGCGTTACTAAGGATTAATCATCATTTATCTAGTATCAAGTAACTGTGTGAAGGCATGTATTTAGGGTGGCGTGTAATTGGTAATTAAATATTACGGTGGCAGTGTATTACCATCGCAGACAGTAGGGGTAAGCAAGAGGTTGCGGGGTACGGGGCGCAACGCATACTTACGCGTACCGACGCCATTGTACAAGTATCCGTACGCGCTGCGCATACGCATTGCGTACGCACCCGATTTGACCGATTCAAAGAACATACGTACGAATATTGTCAGCTAAAAATAAATTAAATAGATTTAGTTATAAACTTATTTCTATGAGTACGTTGGTACCTTTCACATTTTTTTTCTTTAAAAAATAATGGATGACGATTTACGAATTCAAAGCCAATTTTGCATTTTTATTCACTCCAAAATAATTAATCTAGGTAATATACATATAAATATCGTAATTGTTGCTTCAGGAATAATAATAACAAAACTATGTACCTACTTTATTATCCGGTTTGTTCTTTATGACTTGGAAGATTTTTTTTCTGGTTGCAACAAGTTTCATTGCTTCCTTATACATACATCACTTTCATACAAAATTTTGTACGTGTAAAATATTACTGTACAAGTCTAGAACACAAATAGTAATCGACGCAATATCATCCCGTATGTTCTACAAGTTTCACTTGTCAAACAATATGACACAAGAAAGAAAAGGGAAACTTTGAAAGTTAGAAGTATAGTAGATATTCATGAAACATTTTATTACATATTGCTACACTTATTCATAGATTGTTACCTTTGCAAATTGTTTTTTTTAATATAGAGTTCCAGACTATGTTTTATACCCATGCGAAATTTCATAGAAATATGCTATAGAGACACCTTCAAACAGTAATCCATCCATCTAAACATTTATAATATAAGTATGATTCCGTGACATTAGCAGACCTGTGAGGCTAAGGTTGTCTCAGATTACTTTCAAACAAATATAAAATATGAATAACTAAATACCATATTTAAAAGCGGAGTATTGTGTTACTTAATAAGCGTGTACTTGTAACACTCAAGGCCATTGGTTTTAGCGGGAACATGTCAAAATGGAGCGCCGTCGCAAGATGGACGCCCCCCGCCGCCCTACGCCCCCGTCGCTAAACGCAAGTTCACGAGTACACCGTAATATTGATAAAGTTACCTTGACAAAGATGTAACTCATTTGTAAACGGTAATATGTAAAACAGACTTTAGTATTTACAATACATTCCATTTTAAACAAATACACCTATAAATAATATGAACGTTGAAAGATCGAAAGTGTAGGAAAATTATCCCTAAGGAAATATGCCCAAGACAAAATACATGACTACGACTACCAAGTAAACCTCACAAATATTCCCCCGCAATCCTACGTGACTAACTCAAAAGTCCAAGACCTTGTTTGTTTTTTTTAATTTTTTTTAGAATTTAAGGCTGTTCCTTACGTTGAGTTCCTAATTAGAATTTGCCACTAGACGAACAAAATAGATTATATTATTCGAGAATATTTTTGGTCAGAATCCTCGATTTGAAAATCTCTTGAGCGATTGCAACAACCAAGTATCTCAGCACTTTCTTCTATTCCTACCAATTAAAGATATGGCTTCTCTTTTCTTGTCTATTCCTGCACTAATCCTGGCCTAGGATCTAGGACACCGTTATAGTTCTAATAATATTTGATATTTCCCGCGTATTGTACTGAAATATCAAAATCTAGACTACATAGATATTTTTAACTAGATCTACCTAACTGTTCTAATAATGTTGCAATTACTACATTGGACCACATCTTGGTCATGATCATAAACAAAACTCATTGGAGGTCTCATATAGAAAAGTAAATACGTCAATTTACGCTTTAATGTTCGAAGCAACTCTATAATGGAAATATAGTTGTCCTTATTCGTCGCCGAAACCATTTGTTGTTAGTTGAACAATCGACAGTCCGTATTGGTACGATTGGTCACCGCACGTCGCCGCCATATTGGATATCAGTATGCGAGTCGCGTTTCCCGCCAAAGACGTTCGTTCGTGGCTCGCCCAACGCTCAATAGAAAGAATCATGATGAAGGAATTTGTGTACGGCTTGTATGTGCCGTGTATGATATACGATGAATTAATAATAAGACGTTTCTAGGAACGATAAAATTTTAAAATGCGTGCATAGTTTTATGCATATTGACTGAACCATTGTGCCACTTGGATCTTATAAAAGTTTTGTATCCGTTAACATTATAAAATACAGGTACAAAAAAAATTATGAACAGAATTTCTTCATGAACATCATCTTCCTGGTCTTATCCAACCTTAATGTTTTGGGCTACTTTATTAAAGCCGGCCATCTAATAAATAGTAGTAATTTATTTAAATTTCATAAAAATGTATTAAAAACAATCCATAATTTTTACCACGCCTTCAAGTCGAGTTTAAGTTCAGAAAATGTCACAAACAAATCTAAGACTCAAGCAGACTCCAGGATTTTATAAAGTTCTAGTACGTAGTATACCTCTAAGAATTTTACAAATTGAACTCCGATGGCAAATCGGGGTAACATTAAAATGTGTTTGTATGTTTGTTTGTTTTGCGGTTTTTTGTATAACGTCATGAATAGTATTATATTATAATACTATCGTGTAATACATAAAGGCTTAAAGAAGTCTGTGAAGAGAAAACATTTTAGCTGACCTAAGCAAATAAAACATTTTTTTATTTAATCAGAATCGATAAAAAAAGTGAAACTGAAAGAATTCAGCCAAGCCGCTTACCGTAAAAATAAAAGATGAATGAAATAAATAAAAAACCGGTTCTGGCAGAATATACTAAACTAGTGACAAAAAAATGACAAACAAAAACAATCGATAACATAATGACATTGACAGTTGACAGCTGGAACTGGAAAACAAATTGTTCAATTTAATTCAATTCTTTATAATTATTGTTTTATAATAGTTGATATATAATTATTTGACATAAATAAAAAATATGCAGGCCTTTACAAGTATTAGGAATATCATATTCATAATAAGTGGCGGTGTTTTAACGTTTGTTATATTATTTATTTTTGCGAAAAGGCAAATTACTAGATTTGCTCTGAGATCACGTAGGGGACCTCATGTACCAATTGGTGCGGATGCGAAAAAGGTGAGATTTCATATCTAAAACGTACTAACTGGTATTATTTAAGACTAGAGCCTTGCTATCCCATCAAAGACAAAAGTTTGTTTCAACTGAATTAATACTACGCAAGGAATTAAATATGTGAAACATATGATAACTATATATTTTGTCCTATATTTCTAATGTCTGTTACGTCAGAGTTTGAAGAAAGAAATAGAGCGGCGCATAGAAGCAGTACCTCGCATAGTGACAGAGCCTCGTCTTCTGAGTGCCGAGCCCTCACATTACATCCTAGAGCCTCAGCAGCCTTACCACTACAGATTCCGTGCAGTCGATGATGTTAAGACTTTAGGTATGTTATGTTTTACTTTGATTAATGTTAAACTACTTGTTTGTAAAATACATAACTTAGATCACTGGTCTAGAGATGGATAGACTGGATAGATTAGAAAAATTGAGCACTTCCTTATTTTACCAGTGGTAATTTCTTATTTCATTGCTATTGCACTTCAAATGTTTTTTTATGTTCCTCAAATTAAAAAGTAACTTTATGTTTAAGATATTATCAATTTTGTTTTCTAGGATTAATTTTTTTTTGGTTTTTACAGAAGAAGAAATAGCCCGTCAAGACCCAGGTCTGCGTCGTCGTCCACGCGAATCCTTACGCTCATTCCTGCTGTCGTCACTGGCGGCGCCACTGGATGGCCGTGGCCAGAAGCTTGTACATCAATTCTGTGATACGTATGAGTGTGCAAGACACCATCCCGCAGAGTTTGGAGACGATGAGTACAGAGCATATTCCAGACTTCTTTTAAAATTGTTGGACGCGTAAGTTGTATTTTTAGTAGAATTATAGAAGAAATTATAATGGTGCCTACTGTAGGTTTCAAGTCAATGTTAGATTTTTACTAAAAACTGCTACTACTGTATGATTTATGTTCAGTGCAGGAATGGTATAAGTGTTGGAGTATTCAGACTAATGTTGTTTTGTTCAGTGCTCGTTTGCTGAAAAGTGTGGGCGCGTGCCGGGGTGGGTCGCCGCGTGACAGCCCGCAGCGACGTCCGGCGCGACTGTTACGACCTGCTGCGCTCTCCGCGTTGCCCGGAGCCAACAAGCTGCCTGTGTTGCACAACCAGTATACTGCACTAGAGGTACCTACATACACACACTCTACAAATAGAATAAAGCATATCTCTTTTGTTCCTAGAATTATTTGGAAGTCTTGAAAGTTTAAAAAAAAACATGAAACTTTTGATTGTGACTCATACAAATATTTGATTGAGTTAAAAGATATTAAAACCCCTTTGTTTGTTGGCAAATTAGAGAGATGTTGCAAATATCCTCGAAAATTAAGTATAATTCCTGCTTTTTTAATTGAAATTGTAATATTTTTGGACTCTAGTTGAGGTCAATTTTAACATTAGTGTATGTAAAGTACTATAACTTGTAATATTTGTCCAGAACATGCCGGTGGAGTCAAAGATGGAGGATGAGATAATCAGAGTGCCCGTGCGGAGTCCCACGGAGCCCGCGGTGAAGGCTCCGGCCGATGAGACGGCCGTGTGAGGGCGGCGCGCCCGCCACGATGCTAAGACTCTCTGACGTGGTGCGGCAAATATAGAATAGAAGTGAAGTAGAATAAATCTCAAAGAAGGAAACAAACTGATATAGTGACATTTGTAAAGTGATAGTGTTGTGAAAAGTGCAAAAAAAACTTGAAGATTGAGATAATGCCTCAGTCTTATGTTTACGCTGGGTTTATTGTTGAAAATGTGCTTAAACGTATTGTCATCTCAGCTTTTTCACTGATAATGAGAGAGACAATTGTTTCTGTGGATATTTCTTTGGTAGAATCATTGTTATAATATAGTGATTAATTATTTAAATGTAGAATATTAGATTTAGGATATATTTGTATTGTTTAATGTATGTGTAATTTATCATATTAATATATGAAAATTATTGTGTTTATTTTTAAAGCAGAAAGGCAAGGCAAAGGAAGACGGCATTAATTAAAATGTTTAATGCTTCCATATTCATCTGACAATGTGCAAATGAAACTTTAAAATGTATATTACACTAGCGGACCCGACAGACGTTGTCCTGTCTACACGTCTTTAATTTGAATAAATTAATATGAAGTTAATATTTAATGAAAATTGTGAATCTAAACCATTCCCAGATCCCCTTGAACACACACAAAAAATTTCATCTAAATCGGTCCAGTCGTTTGAGAGAAGTTCAGTGACATACACACACACAGAAGAATTATATATATAAAGATATAATTAATAAATAAACTATTCAGATCCTCATAGCAATGCATCAAGTTAGTCATCGAAGCAACTATAACATTTTAAGATGTATTCCTAAAAATTAATGATACCTTAGTGTACTTTCAAATATTACATGAAAATATGATATTTAATAGTTAGTATATATTTAATATAGACAAGGTATTCACAACAGTGTTCAGTCATCCGTACTGACAGCGTTTGACATCGCGAAGTGGCTCTCTCTGAAACAATAACATATAGCTCACTAATTTGACCTAGAAATTTTTCTATGCTATTAATTTTTAATACGTCCTAATATGACTTAGAGTTGCAATAAAACGGAGAACTTACAATCTCATCCATATCTTGTGCGAGGCGAAGTTCTCCGTGTGCCTGAGGGCGAGCAGCGCGCGCTGACAGCACTGCGCCGTCGCCACGTCGCTGGTCGCCGTCCGCGTGTGCGACACCCACTCCAATATCTGAACATTAACAAACACCTCGCTAAATGTGAACAACAATATATCCGGCTCGAGGGACCTACGACGTACCTGCAGCGAACAACTCCTCCATTGGTCTCTAGCGAGCAGCGCGGCGAGTGCGGCGGGCAGCAGGGCGCGGCGCACGGCGCGGCTGCCGGTCACTTGGCCCACCTCCGGCTCGAGGGTCCAGACGCCGCTCAGCATGATCACGCTCAGCATGAACACGTCGAAAAGGTACAGCTTCGCCGACTCATCCTCGGTTCTGAACCGCAGAGTTCGAACAAACAAGACTATAGAGCGAGACAAAAACTTACAATTCTAATATAATTTACTGATGACTCACTCTGTGAAGGCGATCTGCGAGCGCGCCATGAGCTGCAGCAGCCAATCCTTAGTCGTCTCCGCGTCGGACGGCGCCAACTGCAGCGCGTTCACCATGCACTGCAGCGTGTACTCCTGCACGCTGCACTCGCATATGTCACACATTGACACGTGTATGACACGCGACAGTATTAGTCGACAAGTAAGATGTGAGAGACGGTACTAACGAGATGCATTGTGCGCAGGAGTCGATGACATCGTTGAGCCAGGTGAGCGGCGTGCGGCAGTCCGCGATGGCGGCGAGCACGGTGCGCACGCGACACGAGCGCACCAACGCGTCCGCACTCACCTCCCACCACCCGCTCGGTGACGTCATGCGCTCCAGGTAATTGCTGCTCAAATGCCCGCAGCACTCCAGGTACGCATGCCACGCCTACAAGTACATTCGAACTTCAACTTTGATACAATACGATAAAGATCATAATTCAAGAGGTCGTTCCGACTCGAAGGACCGAACTTCGAAGCCGAGAAGCAAAGAACGATGACGATGACAGTTATCACAACTCACCATGCCATTGTCAGGTATAACATTAAAGTACGTCTCTATGATCTGCGAGAGCAAGGTCCTGTTGGCGTCGTGTATCTTGTCACAGGCCAGGGCATCCCGCATGCACCACAGCAGCCGGACGAACAGGGGCTCCTCTCCCTTTCCCGCAGTCTTGCACATATTGGAGAAGGAGTCGCCGAGGCAGCGCTCTATTGGTCCGCGCAGCGTGTTGGGCGGCATGCCGCGGCATAAGATGGACAAGTTCTTGAATACTATCATTATGTCGGCTTCCTGTTACCAGCGAAGAAAAAAAAACAATATTGTCTGTAATCCGCCTTAGCCTGGACGGCTGAATCTATTTCAACAAATGAGGTGATAGATTAGTATCGTTCCAGTGAGTGTCATAGGGTTCCAATTACTCACACTGCACTTCCCCGGCTGCACGAGGACTAGAAAGTTCTCAAACAGTCTTCGTGCGGAGGGAGAGACGGGCGTCTGCCTGGCGGCCAGCTTGAAGCAGAGGTCGCGCCAGGCGGGCCCGCGGTGCAGCGCCTCGTGCAAGAAGCACAGGTCCAGGGGGGGCAGCGGCTTCGAGTACTCCACGGTCAGGGTCTCCAGGATGGCCAGGAGTACAGTGTCCGAGTACTCGAAGGAGGGAGATGTGACCTAATACAAAAGACTCCATTCTAGAATTTTAATATTACTATTATTATAAATTCGAATGTTTACTCGGATGGATGTTTGAACGTATCTCTAGGACGGCTCAATGGATCTCGACGAATTCGGTATGAATATAGAACATAGTCTGGAAGAATATATAGGGTAGTAATTTAGTTTTTTTCTTCTCTAGTTTATGAAAATAATTAGTGATAAGGATATATATGAGTAAAGCGGAACAGGTACCTGTTTCCTGAAGCATTCCATGAGACCCCTGAGCACGCTGCTGGGCAGCAGATGGGCGTAGGAGTGCGGCTCCCCGCGCCCCTCCGTGTTGTAGAGCCCCCCGCGGTAAGCGCGCACCTCCGCCCCCACCAGCGCGCTCGCCACCCGCCCCGCGCCCCGCACCGCGCACTCGCTGCTGCATCTGAACACCTCGCTCCACACCTCGCCTGCACCACACCCCCACACCCACATACTCCTCGTCGAGTCAACAACTTATCACTTTATTGTACACTTAGTTGTTCAATTAGTGGATCAACTAAGTCCTGGAATCAGGTCAGGTGGAGTCATGACCCCCATGACACCCTCCCCCCTCCTGGATCCACCATTGGTCACTACATCTCATATTGTAAAAATAAAGATTTCTTTGTAATGAGTAAACATAAAAACAGTAGGGCCGATTTCAAAAAATCTTCCTCCGCAACAAATCTACATTATACCTAAGTAACATAGGCTACTTTTTTACTTTTAACATCTTTTTTTTATTTCAAAACAGATATACATATTTAAATTAGGGTTGGAACGGGCGGAGCGTCTTACTTACATGGTATGTATTCCAGAACATCTTCCGGTTTCCTCGCAGCATCAGCCGGGGTCTTGCAGTGAGACGCAGGCAGTCGCACCGTGCTTCTGTATATCTACACACATCAACAAATAAACTAGAAACAATCTATTTAAAAATGTTAAATTGTCTTATAAACACTTGACATTAAATTAAGTCGGCAAAAACTGAACTGTTTTACCCACAATGTGTCATAGACAATAAGTTGTTCGTACTGTTTTACCGACGTTAACTTACCTCTGGTATATCAGCGAGTTTAAAATCTTCCAGTTTGAATGCGGCGAGAGCGTCGCAGGCAGCCTCCGCCAGGTCAGGGTGCTGCGCCTCCGCCAGACGCCGCCACAGCCACCGCGAGGCGTCCGACACCAGCCGCTCGTACTCCGGACTTGACACACGCAGCGCGGGTATCTCCTCCAACAACTTGCATAAACTACAAATAAAAATTATAAAATCGACACTGAAGGTTCCATTTATCACTTTTGAAATGGTCCTTATCACTTTATTGGCCATTCTTTTTTTTTATAACAGAAGGGGGTAAACGGGCAGCGTTAACACCGAGGTGTTCAACGACACCCATGGACATCAGCAATAACCAGAGGACCCGCAGATGCGTTGCCGGCCTTTGAGATGGTGATACGCTCTATGTATAAATATACTACATACTTATGCCGCGACTTTCTCAAAGGTTGTTTAAGTACGTAAACCTATAAACCGACAACCGGTGGACGAATGTCAAACTAAATTACACTATCTCACTAGCGCCCCCTTTTCAACGACAAAAATGACACAAATTTCCAAATAGGTTTTATATACATTTTGACATAACCGCGATAGCAGCGCCTCTTACCGAATTGTTTATATGTGAATGAAATATTTAGTACAGTTAAGTTACCTGATCTGGACCAGAGGTCGGGAGTCCCTGGCGAGGCGGGGCTCGAGTGCGCGCCAGGTGCCGGGCGGGGCGAGCGCGGCGCCGCGCCACAGCGCCGCCAGCGCGCACAGTGCCATCGATGTGGCAGCCGCACCGCTGCGGTCTGTGCACTTGTTCAGTATTGAAGATATCACCGATACCAGTTCTAGACCGTGACTTGACGCTCTGTTATACCGAAAATTTCACATCTTATATGCCAGAGTCACTGAATTATACAAATGGATTGGATATAAGACGTAGTATTTTGTGCCAGTTTGATTTCCACCATTTTGGCGCTGATGGTTGCGGTTTGTTACGGTGGTGTCAATTGGAACTAATAATATAGATGAATTAACTATCACGTAACATCAACAACCGCGTTTAAATCGGAACGAAGCAAAATTGTAATTTCCAAGGAATCCCTTATCCATTTATAGAGAACAGTGGTCAGAACAAATGCATTGTTGTTAATCTATTTCATATTTTTTTAATAAAAGTGCCAGCTGGAAACAAGCGCAGGAACAGTTTAATCTGTCCCTGCTTCGCTGGCTTCTTTTTAGCACACTTTTACACCAAGTTTGTGCCTTTTTGGTTTAATGGATGTTAATAAATGTTTTTCTTTATCAGTTTTCTATTTGAAAAATATAATTCTAACTAAGCAATATTTCGAGTGTTGTCTTATTCAACAATCTTTTCTTTTTTAGCTTAACCTCATTTCACAGATGCGCTTAACAGCGAGTGCTTTAGCTAAGTCGATCTCCCACTTGAGGTCATCAGGGCGGCCAGCGCGCTGCTCCACCATCAACTCTTGGAGGTACGGGAAACAACGCACCTACACATCACACAGACATACAAACAGAAAGACCCAAAGTGAAAGAAGAGAGAGAAAGACTAAAAGAAACAGAGCGACATATCTCGGCATGATATTTAAAACATAGAAATAGTCATTACGTTAATAATTTTATATTTATAACTTTTACACGACTGAACTTTTATTATTATAAAATACTTATTTACCTAAATAACTACATATATATGTATTTTGAATCAATATTAGTTAGTCATTTGACGCGAATGGCGCGCTTTCTTTACAAAAGTCAAGTGTCAAAATGTTTAGTGAGGGGACATAAACGTTGACATTTTAATAAGGCTAGTGTTGCGCCATACCGGCAATGTGTCGGATTTTCTTCCTAACAATATTTATTATGTTAAAAATTTAAGCATTGTTCTGAAAAGTCTTTGGATGTGTTTAATTATTTAAAAGTTATAGTTTTGCTGAAATTAATTAATTAATAAATACCTGTGTTTCAGCCAGAATTGTATACAACATTATGACAACAGAAGTAGGTACACTTTTGTTTGTTTTAAGTTTATTTAAAACATTCACTATTGGCGGCACATTTTCCTGAAAATGTCAAATACGATAGAAAATAAATCAAATATATTAGAGTTGTAGATATCTAAACAAAGCAATGTATCTGACTAATATGACAAATACTAAAGTTTAAATGGATGTTTGTTAGATCTCCGGCACAGCTCAACAGATATGGATGAAATGGCATAGATGTAGAACATAGAAGAACACAGGCTACTTATAAAGTGAAAAGCGCCAATAGCCTAATGGTTAAGGGAAGGGATTTCCGATCAGGAGGTCGGGGGTTCGAATCCCGCCATTCGACTATTGTCGTAAACCATATCCTAGCACAAGCATAGCGCTTAGTTGGTATGGTACAAAAAATATTAGTAAATTTAATTTAAAAAATCTGCTATTTACCAAAAAAAATTAATTCTGCGTAGACGGAGACGCGGACAAAAGTATTTTCATAATTTAAGTGTCATGTTATTGTGGTCGTGTAATACTAACCTTTGACATAGCCATTAACGGTAGACCCTTCAAGCATTCCAGTTTAACAGATGGCCGTGGGTCATTCGCTATGATATACATTAAAATAGGCAATACTGTTACAGACAAATCCTTTTTTACATTAACAAGTTCAATTATGACCCCTACTGCCATTAACATAACGGCGTCAAATTCCTCTTTCCTCTTTTCAAATATTATACCAACAAAGAAAGGTAAAATATCTATTTTTAAATTATGATTTGATTTAATTAATTGATTAAACCATTGTATCAATTTTTTGGGATCATCTCTCAATCGTTCCCACGTTTCAATGACTTTAAACATTTTATAAAGATATCCATCTGTATATAATAATGTTTGGAATATTTTGTTTGCCTTTAAATTAGGCATGTATAGACCGCTGTCTTCTTTATTTGTGTCTCGATATATATCAAGTATACTTGAAGCAACTTTTAATGCATTCGTTGTCAAATAAGATGGCAGATGGAGCCACTGTAAAGATAACGCGGCAAATGCGTTCAAACTTAACGCGGAATATTCATATTTACTTATTATATTTAAACCTGGAAGGAAAAGTTAATAATGTTATCATTTATGTTTTAATCTAAAAACAACTTTAAGCCTTCTACATAAGGTTTAGTTTGATATATTTTTGTATTAAGAAAATTCCAACTGTCAAAAATTGACACAATTTCAAACAATTGTAGTCGAAAAAAATCAAATTATATCTTTATCTCTATTTTATCAAAGTGAAGAAAAGAGATGGTAAAATGCATTTTAACCAATGGCAATGTTCCATTAAACACACTCACACAAGTTAAACAGTTCGTGTAGGTACAGGGCAGAGCTCTGTGTGAGGTTGTCAGCCAGAAGGAGGACAGTGAAGCCCGCGACTGTCCGCAGCACGGGCGCCTCGAGGGCGAAGCACCTCTCTATCAGACTATAACACGCACGGGGGTCACGCCTAAAAGGCAAGAAAGATTTTAATAACTAAACTACAACTGGGGCTGAAATGATGAACAATGAAATCCTCGTTTGAAACAAATTTTTATCTCTGTTTTGTCAATGATTATAACAGAGATGAGTACATATTTTAACATAAATTGCAATAGTTCAACTGACCCGTTTTTGAGCATTTCATTAGATATCCTGGCGAGGAATGGCAGCAAAGCCATCACATAGTCCCGTCTCTGCTGGTATATGAATGTGTCTGTTACAGCACTGTACGCCGCGAACGCACGCTCCAACAACGCTGGATTGCAAATCTAATTATACAAAATAATTAATTAAATCTATAATCAGAATACAGATAAAAAATATGTGACAAAATATATACAATACACACAATCATAATATATAAAGAACATATAAATCTTTTCAAATATCTTGGCGGCAATGTCTTCGGCGCGCTGCGCAATGCATCCCGTTGCACCCTGCTACACCTAAAATTGTGTTCTGCATAGAGTTAAGAGTCTCGTACAAAGTAAAGAGCTTATCTTCAATTTTTTTTATTCATAAAAAACGAGTTTTCATAGGTAATATTTATAAAAACAGTAACCTGTTGACAGGAGATGCAGTCAAGTAGAATTGAGGTCTGAGCAGTTGTCTGTGGCAAGCTGAGTAACATTTGCCATGGCCTGATGCTTGCACTCTTCTGCTGAGGATTGCACATCAGCCAGAAGAACACAGAACGGAGAAGTTCTAAGCTATTTGATGATATCCTGAAAAATATAGAAAATAATGCAATTTATATACACCCTTAAAAAATAACTTATAGTATCTTTGTACAATAAAAAACTGTGAACTATTCTTATTTTATTATTATAAAATTCACTACTAAACATAAGTCTCTTCCAAGGTATTGTTTACGTCCAAATGTGACCAGGACTATAGGAGTTGCTCTCATAAAATTTAATTACACTTACTTGTAATCAGGGTGTGTGCATAATGCATGCATTTGTGCAAGAACATCATCTTCAGCATCTTTATTTTTCTCTAGCACAGATATGAGGGGATGCACTGGAGACCTCAATGAGAACTGACATTTATATGGTTGACCGGGGATAAGACGCGACCGTAAGTCGAGAATTAACAGACCAGCCATTGTTGATATCGTGGCAGAGTAGTTGCTTCAAAATAAAAATAAATTAAATTATGTATTGTTGATTTCAGATGTACGTAGGATTGATTTTTGTACAACTTACTGTGCGGTTGGAAGTAATGTTATAACTGTAGACATAGTATGCCCAATTTCTAACACTCCAAACTCCACCAGAGCTAGTAGACCCTGGTATGCAGTAAGACTGACAAGAGTATTCTCCGAAGAACATTTTTCTCTCAGAAATTTAAGTTCTTCATTCTCTAACGCGAACTTTTGTTTTTCAGCCGGCTGATATTTAGATTTTATGGTGGAAATTAATTTGTCTATGGCATTAACGATTAAAACACTATTGTTTGTTTTTAGTTTATATTCAATTTCATCCATATTCAGTCTTTTATATTAGTAAAAAAATTATAAACAGATGTGTTTTGACACGTAACCTTTATTGATTGACTTCGGCAAATTTTAACTCCAGCTGATTTCTGTCAATTGATTGTTGGTTCGGTTTTATGCATCATAATAAATAATGAAAAAGTTTAGACAAGCTATTTTAAAGCAATTTGAACCTTGAAAATATAGTTTAATATGTTATATTAGAAAAAAAGTCGCAAAAAATGCGAAGATTTTATTAAAAATATGTATAAACCAATAAGAATGCAACATGTGCTTTTCTAAAATTCATTTGGCAGCACAGTTTGTGTTTCTGCTGCATGTTGCATGCATGACACATGACAATATCTGACATTTTTTATTGTTGTGTGAAAAACGAATGAAATAAAGATTTTATTTATTAAAACTACGATCTTGTTTGTTTAAAAGTGTGTGCTATCAATTTTTGTGTGAAGCCAACCGATAAAATGTCCACCCCACCTCGAGAGACCATACAAAAACAAATTCAGCAAGACTGGGCGAACAGAGAATATATCGAAGTTATCACGGGAAGTATTAAAAAGATTACAGATTTCCTTAATTCCTTTGGTACGTAAACGTCTTATATTTGTTTTCGTTATTTTATTCAAACTTTTCAACCAGTGTACACTATTAAATCATTAATTTCTCCCTCATTCTAGACATGTCTTGTCGATCACGGCTTGCGACATTAAATGAAAAATTGACTTCATTAGAAAGAAAAATAGACTACTTGGAAGCTTGTGTAAGTATATATTTTAACATATAATACATTTCCTGTATCACATAAAAGATTCTGTTATATTCAATAAGCTCTCGGTGACTTTTACTTTTACTTTTACTTTTCAGGTAACCAAAGGAGAAACTTTAACTTAAATGAGTTGTATCCAGAGGGAAGATAAGCATTTAATTCTTGTTTTAAACATATAAGTACTGATTGATTATAATAAGATATATTGCTTATCATTGGTTTCTGACACCAAAATCTCTGTAAAATGTATCATCATCCCTGTCTTTAACAAAACAGAGATAACATTATGTTTTAAATGGGAATATTGGTTTTAGAAACCCATAGTTAGAAGTTATAATATTGAGTTGAGAAATCAACTTAATTATAATCGTCAGATTGCATATTTGTTTTAAAAGCACATTTGATAGAAAAATGTTTAAAATAAGCATAGCATCTTATAAAATGTTGAACCAAGCATGATTATGAACTAATAATTTATTAGTTTCTAAAGAAGGAATATTTTAAATTAATAATTATTATATGACATTTTACTTAAGTTATTATAAATAAAGACAGTAATTTACTGAAACTTTTTATTTAAGCTCTTTAGATTAAACTGCTTCCAACATCAGAGCAATTCCTTGTCCGCCTCCGCAGCTGGAGGCAGCCACTGCTGTCTTACAATTGCCTTTCCTGTAAATGTTTAAATTTTTAGTACAGCAAGCAAATACAGTCTAAGTACCAACTATATATTTCCCTGTTACTGTTTTGGCACAAAAAATGTGCAACGGGTTATCACAGTAAGGCCCAAGTCCCCTTTGGACCTAAGAACCTTGTAGGATAAATCTACATACTCCGACATTAGGACCTGCAAACATATTTTTTGCTGTAACTATCGGGCTCAATTTATCATATTCAAAATGTCAGGTTACGTCTATCATACTATCTATTTAATTAAATAAGAAGAGAATTAAAGATTCATGTCAAATACCGTATTTGGTGCACCAAATGTGTGGCCATCCTGGCGCCGGTAGCAGCAACAGGATGTCCCAACGCCAAAGCCCCGCCGCTCACATTAACCCTACTTGGGTCTATTTTTAATTCCTTAATCGTTGCTAATGCGTGTATCGCTGTGGTCTCATTTATCTGTTGAAACATAACCAATACATAACAGTATTAACATTTTTTTTTTATTGAATGGTAATTCTATAGTCTGTAAAAAGTATTGTGTTACCTGTATATAAACGCGGGAAACACAAAGATATTTAAATCGCATATTTTCCTCTAACCCCCTAAACATTGATCTCTATAAATAGATAGGCTATTGCTTGAAAATGGCTGCTTTTGCTTTGTTCCGATTTAATCGCACTCATTGATGTTATTGGTAGTTAATTCTATCTATATTATGAGACCAAGTACACACCACCGCCTCAAATCGCTACCATCAGCGCCAAAATGGCGTATTTCAAATAGGAACAAAATACTATGCCTTTTAGCCAGTGCATTTATGGAGGTCAGTGCCGCCAAAATTTAACGCTTACCTCAAATATTTCAACATCTTGTATCTTCCTATTTGTGACTGCAAGTAACTTCTGAATAGCAGGAATAGCGCCTAAACAAGCCTGAGCAGGATCCACGCCGACGCACGCCCAACCTGATAACTTCGCTAATGGCGTTAGTTGGTGTTGGTTTACTGATTCTTCATCAGCTATTATCAATGCTGCAGCACCATCAGCAGGCACCTTAAAAGATATCCAATTAAAATTAAAAAAAAGATATTCGAAATTAGCGAAAGAGATTCGGTGGCTCAGGGTTTCGAATCCCGCCATGTACAAATGTGTTGTTCGATTTACTTATGTGACTGACTGACACAACATCGTGTTGCAACCTGCACATATCTAGTGACCCCTAACTTGGGTTCCGAGCCCCTCAGTGGGGACGTATAGCTGATGATGGTCATTCTAAATTAGTAAGTTTTGGTAACTTTGCATAGCGCAAATTGTCAATCATTTGAGAGACTAACAGAGAATATATTTGGTGCTAAAATAAGCTACACAAATATTTTTTGTACTTATTTTGCAAGTACCGCACGTACCGTAGTGTTACCAGTTGTAACTATAAATCCGTCGTCTACTATCGGCGGTAGAACTGACAATTCTTGCGCGGTTAAATCAATTCGAGATATTCGATCCGTGTTTATTACGATTTCGTTTTTATTCTTTACATTTATCGGTGTGATTTCATCATTAAATCCTTTTGCTTCGTGAGCTGAAATTTAAAAAAAATTGAAAGTAGTTGCTACAGGTTTCTGAAATCAACTAATTCTTCTTAAGTTTTGAATACATTCAAAAGTTACTAAAGTCAATTAAATATTACAACACCAATTTTATCGCACATGAATTTTTACTAACCAAATTTCCATTTTAAATGACTTTTCAACGAGTACTGATCTACTTCGTCTCTTGAAAATTTATATTTCTTCGCTACAACCTCGGCTATATGCTCCATACTTAGACCACAGTAGGTGTCGATTATTTGGTTCTTAATATGATCTTCCATTTGATATTTTACGCCGAGTGTGGTCCCAAACCTGACGTTGCGGACCAACATTGGCAGAGATGACATAATTTCAGTGCCACCCACCAAACTTACCTTGGATGAACCTGTTAAAATATCCTAAAAGACATGGAAAAAATATATTTCAACATTTGTCTAAAATAGACCTTTTCATCGGTGGGTTTGAAATATTTAAGTAATATGTAAAAGTTTCAACTTACCATACAACCAGTGATAATTGCCTGTAATCCCGCACCACAAGCCTTGCTGACTCCTAACGCTGGTCTATCTAAGGAAACTCCAGAATAAGTGCCGCAATACCTAGGAGTCTTTCCGCCATCGCATTGACTAAGCTATCGCCAAAATATATGGTTTGAACAATTATTTGAACGAGGAGTTCTTAGCAGTTATAATTTTAGAATTAAATGTAACAAAAACTTACAAAGTTAACATTCCCGACAACTGTATTATCAATTACTTCTGCTTTTAAATTAGCAGAATGTATTGCATCCTTTGCCGCCTCAGCGAAAATATGAGATGCTGGTAAATCTCTGTAAGGTCCTCCATAACTACAAAACGGCGTTCTCTTTGCTCCAACAATAAGTACACCTGGAATTTTAAATTTTAACACTTCTATTTGTCTTGGTGTTTTTATCTTAAAATAAAAAAAACAAAAGGAATTTATATATATAGCAACACTAGTGTTTCCATTTAACAAAAACTACCGATGATCAGGTTAAATATTAGGTGCGCAACTAAGTTCTCGCTGTTTGTCAGCAGATGCCTCTAGCATGGCTAAGAGCTGGTCGATTTTGACATATCCAAAACGTCATGAACCAAGCTTAGACATATGGTAAACAAACCGTTGCGACACATGAGTGATTTTGTTTTCGCATTATATACTTCTGGTCAAGTAAAAATGTCGAATTTCGTGCCAAACAATAGTCATTTGCGGGAAGTGTTGATTTTCTTTTTTCATTCGAAAAAAACGGCAGCTCAAGCGCATCGAGAGCTTCAAGAAGTGTACGGAAATTGTTAAATATAATAGTTAAAAATTTTACCAAATTCTACCAACTTAATCCTCATGTACTAGAGTATACTTTACTCTTTGTTCAAGACTTTAAACTCAACAGATGTGGTTCAAGGTTGGAATATTAAGATGCATATTATAAGAGTATTTAGTAATGCATTTGTACTAATCTTAAATGAATGGAACTTAATGAGTTAGCTTAGGTTAAAAAACTTACCTCTGCAGTTTAGCGCCATCAGACCTTGTTTCGATTCGTTCTACAGAACGGAATGCTTATTTGTTTTATGTTGTCAACAAAACAGATAGAGATAACTGTTATCACAATCATCTTTTTATATAACGTTATTTTTATGTAAATTTTATATTCATTGTAGCAATAACCTTGTGAGATATTTTACCTTCATATTTTTGGTATGGAATCTGACGTCTTAGAAATTAGATATCTGCCAATGTGCATAGCACTAACTTTTTAATATCGTAAAAGTTCAAAGTTGAATCAAAGACTATTGTGTTCCATCTTTTAACATTCGTAACATGTATATACTAGCTGTCGCCCGCGACTTTGTCCGTGCAGAATATAAGAAAAATTTAATAAGTAGCCTATGTATTTTTCCGGACTAAGTTCTACCTCTGTGGTAAATTTCAGCGTTGTCAAACCGTTGAACCGTTTTGGTGATACCTTCTAACAAACAACCATCCATCTAGACTTTCGTATTTATAATATTATAGTAAAATAGTTTGAATTAATATATGAAAACCACTTTCATAATATTCAATTTTTATTGAATAGGATATTTGTACCTAAAACAGTTTTAAATAAAAGATCATTTAAAAAATATAAATAATAAATATATTTTCCTTCATAATGTAACACTTGATAAAAAATACATATTCAACATTACTTCATAGTTGCAACAATTTTTTACATAAATATTTTTTTTAATATAAACCTCACAACATCAATGATTATGTACACTAAAATATACATAATACATTTAGCTTAACTTATGTATAAAAATGTAAATCACAATTTGTAATAAACACATTTCATGTAGCAAAATAGTGATAAAATTACATACAATTCCATACACAAAGATTATGTATTATAAAAAAATATTTTAAAAATTTATCAAAGCATTCATCATTCATCTTCTAATGTTTAGAAAATTATATATTTTGTGTAGAACTTTATTAATAAGATATATAATTTAAACAGTTTCAATCATAAGCGCGATGCCCTGTCCGCCGCCGATGCACGCGGATCCAATGCCACGCTTCAAGCCACGCCGTCTGAAAACAATAAAAAAAATATGCTCCTAAGCTTATATAGTGTAACCTCAAAAAATATTTTATCTTATTTTGATATCATACTAATATTATAAATGCAACTATTTGAATGGATGGATGTTTGTTATAAGGTAATTTGGAATAGATGTAAAATATTATCTGAACACATCGACTAACTAGTTAAGTTTTTTTTAATATCGCGCGAACAGAGTTGCGGGCGACAGCTAGTAAGTTATAAGTATTAGTGGACTTGAACCCCCAAAGCCAATGTATTTACATATTGTAACAAATTTGGACCCCCAAACCCCACATGAAACCCCCCAATGACAACTAGCATACCTGAGCTCATGCACGAGATGCGCGGTGATACGTGAGCCAGAGGCACCCAGGGGGTGTCCGAGAGCGGTCGCACCCCCGTTCACATTCAGCTTCTCCAGGTCCAGCTTCAAGGCTTTAGCACAAGACAGAGTCTGAGCTACGAATGCCTCGTTGATCTGAGTAAATTAATTGTACATATAAATAAATAAAAGCTTTGCTCAGTATTTTTTTTTAATTGTGTTTTTTGGAAATTATATGTAAGTACGAATTACTAATAAAATGATGAAATATGAATAATATTTTTCGATCTTACCGATAGAAAAAGTTTAATTTATGTTTAAGTTGATTATCGATAAAACACGAATAAAATGACATTTTCTAAAAATGATTCCTAGCTAGATCGATTTATCGCCCCCGAAACCCTCTATATACTAAATTTTATGAAAATCGTTATACTGTGAAGAGATAGGGAGGTTATATTTGGGAGCTTCTGTCCCGGGGGTCAACCTAAATCTAAAATATAATATGCAAACATTAGTATCAAAAATTCTGTAAAACTTGGTCAAACTAGACTTTTCAACTTCGGAAGACATTTAATATGTATCTACAGACAAAACAAAGTATAATCCAAGATACTATTAGATAATTATCCCAATTTATTATAGAAATGGTCCCAAAATGTAGATATTTTTAGGATAAATTAAAATAAAACCTACAATAAATACATTACATTTAAAATAATAAATCAATACATTTTATTGCAGAATAATTTTGTAAATGCTAAAGATTTAATGATGCCATTGTTATTTTTTTAGCGATAAAGTTTCATGAATATTCATAATTGATTTTATCATAATGGTTATTTTTATTATAATTAAATATTTTGTTTAAAAGCGAATAATTTAAATGTTGTTGAATTAATATAACTTTAGGAAAAGATTCTTTGTCTCTCAATCTCATACAATAATACTTAACACTTCTGTTGCTGACAGATACGGAACTTTTTACATGTTTTTATTCATAATTGTTATATTTTTGAATTTAGAACTTTATATGTTTTTTATTCCTTTTTCTCTATATTTAAAACCAGCAGTTGTAAATATATTCTTGTAACAGTGCGTGCTTTTCTGTTTATTTCTAATAATTCTATTCTATATTTTAATTTTATCTTTTTATTATATAACATAATATTCCAAAATTCATCCTAATCCAAACGCTCTTTCCATCCTTACATTTTCCGTCGTCTTTAACTTCTAAATCAGTCAAGATGTTTAGTCTACATGTCATAACGGTACAGAAATACATACAAACATGTATATACAAATGTACCAGCAAAAGTCATAGCCTCTACCTCTTATAAGTGCAAAAAAACTACCAGTAATTCCGATAGGGTTAATACATTAGTTATATTACTTGACTTACCGTGGTTTTCTAAAACTAAAATCTCCATTTAAAAAGTTTGTTATCTCTGTGTTATCATATTTATATTGAAAGGGATGATGATATGTTTATACAGATATTTTGGTCTCAGAAATTCACGGTTAAACCTGTATCATTTCGTTGAATGGTGTTTGTAGTTACATTGGCACGTCAATGTTTGAAAGTTCTTTGGTCAGGTGTGCCAACTGAATCTTACCTCAACCAGGTCAATATCATTGAGGGTCATGTTGGTGACCTTAAGCAGGTTCTCTATGGCTGGTACGGGTCCGATGCCCATGATGCTGGGGTCCACGCCCACGTACGACCAGCCCACCAGCCGAGCGAGGGGCTTCAGGTTCTTGGCGGCTGCCTCACTCGCCAGCACTAGGGCTCCAGCACCATCGCTTATACCCTAACCGAAACATAGAGATTTCATAATCATGAGATTTTTGCTTTCCATTCAATTTTTAATATTGAAGGAAAAACATCGTAAAGCAACCTGCATATATCTGTGAAGAAATTCAAGGATATGTGTGAAGTCAACACGCACTGGGCCAGCGTTGACTATGGCCTAGTCACCCCTAACTTATTATATGCTCTGAACCCCTCAGTACATTATAGTGAGCTGATGACGATACTGTTTTCGAAGTCTTCAGGAAAGTGGAAATATTTTTATGAACAAGGTAATGTTACCCATAAAAAATATATTGCAAGTTCCAAAAGATTGAACAAATCTTAGCCTCACAAATATCAAAGAAAATTTGTTTCTGAACAAGAAGCTATAGGATTTTGGATTTGGATGGATGGATAGATGGATGTTTGTTAGACGGTACCTCCAGAACGGCTCAAAGGATCTTGATGAAATTTGGCACAGATATAGAACATAGTCTGAAAGAACTCATAAGCTTATAAAGTTAAGGTAAGTCATAAAATTTGTAAAACATTGTGTAACTTACAGAAGCTGTGCCAGCAGTGACTAGACCTTCCTTTTTGAAGACAGGAGGTAACTTGTTTAGACCTTCAAGCGTAGTCTGCGGCCGCGGGTGCTCGTCCACCTCCACGCGGACCTCTTTCCTCTTCACCGTCAGAGTGAAAGGCTCGATCTCCGCCTTGAACACACCAGCGTCGTTCGCTGCAAAGTGCAAAATTACAAAGATATCTTTATAATGCTTCCAAGGTGATATCAAATAAGGTGACAAGGTTGAAGGATTGGACCTGGGGTATATCTTAAATATAGAAAAAGCTTAAACAATGGGATATTGAGAGTTAAGGGGTTAAACAGTTTTAAAATAACTCTTACCAGTCTTCCACCGTTGTTGTGACCGTAACGCGAAGTCATCCACCTCAGTCCTGGTGATCCCGAACTGTCCGCCGAGTTTCTCTGCAGTCATGCCCATCGGCAGACCGCAGTAGCTGTCGGTCAGTCCCGCCCACAGTGTGTCCTCGAATGCGTAAGATGAGCCCAGTGCTGTGCCGAATCTAACACCTCGCACCGCGAATGGAGCTTGCGACATATTCTCTACACCACCAGCTAAAGATATGTTAGCTGATCCAGTCAGAATATCCTGTGGAATTAGTACACAGTAATGAAGACTATAACCTAGTCACTTAACTTAGGATAGGCTTGGGGCACTAAGTGGCGACGTATAGTGAGATGATGATGAATGTAGCATAATAACGTTTTTCTTTAGGTTCGTCTACCAAAAAGCCTTCCTTTTATCTATAGGATAAAGGGTGTTAACGAGCAGCGATAATGCCGAGGTGTTCATCAACGGACATCTGAAATACGTGTGATGCGCTTTATAAAAGACCCTAAGTCGTAGCGGTTTGGAAATGCCGAGGACAGACCATTCCTCCTTCCTTCAAAGTTAACTTCTCCATAAATGTGTGCAATACAGTTTTATGGCGTCTGACCGTCTCAAAGGAATTTTCTACTTTCAATCATTCTTCTCAAGGATGGAAAAAGACGTTCTTTGAAAGATTCTTATATCCTGCTGCAGTAAGTCTTAGATGTTAGATGTGATAGTCATCGATGTAATTGTCGTATCCGTCCGTGACCAAGACCAAATTACCATGATTATGATTTCTATGTAGCTATTTTTACACAGTATTAATTTTAATCCTTTGTCGCGAATGACGTGCTTTCGTTACAAAGTCCAGTGTCAGAATGAATAGTGAGGGGACATAAACGTCGACCTTTTAGTAAGACTAGTGTTGCGGCAATACACTGGCACATTTTCGTATTTTGTTTCTAACACTATATACAAACCTGTGCGCTGTTAACAATGGATTGGAAGCCGGAGCCGCAGAGTCTGTTGATGCCGAGCACAGGTCGCTCCTGCGGGATGCCCGCCTTCAGCGAGGAGTGCCGCGGTGTGTAGATGCCGTCCACTTGCGACGACTACCCACAATGAAATGGATGCTAAGTCATTTGGAAGATTTACGAGTCATATTTCTTACTAATATACAAAAGTTAAAAGTGTAAATTTAATTATTTCATGTACAATAGAAAATGTCGCGAAAATATCATCTTGGTTTTAATTTTAAGTACAAATTGCAATAAAATGTAGGTTTTTGTTTTACTCAATGCTACGTTTATTTTAATTAACATTAAAATACAAGCCATTATATTTTTGTTTACGCCACGGTGATCACAAGGCGGTGGTGGATGAATGAGGTGTGGTGCAATGCGTGTTAACCTTAACTCTACTAGAATTATCTGCAAAACAATTATGTCTGTGATGTCACTATATGAGTACGCCTAATCACTAACTTAGGAGCACCTCATTGGCGATATTGGTCGGAAGAGTTATAACATTTTCCATCGGTTCTTTGAAGTGCCGACCTCATGTGACTTACCGACATGACCTGACCGATGACGACGGTGTCGACTTTGTCGGGGGCGACTCCTGCCTCGCGTAGGGCCGCCGTGGTGGCCGCCGTCTGCAGCTCCGTGGCTGACGTGTTGCGGAACACACCACCGAACGTGCCGAACGCAGTGCGCTTAGCGCCCACGATGAATATACCTAAGGACAAAACGTAGCTTCAACAAATTTCAAACAAATCTAAGAAATATGCCTTCCCTTTCCTTATAAAACTGGTGGGAAAATACAACTAAAATAAGGTCTCCGGCGCATCATCAGATGTGACGTGGAATTACTTTCATCTCTCGCCTGTATTCTGTGCTTGTGGTAATGTTGCTGCAGACTCTACCACCACTTTCTGGTTTACACCACTTCACGCGTCGATGGTATAAAGAATAAGTCTCATTGAACTGCCACTTTGTATTATGAAGGCTACTTTCACAGTCGCTTAAAGTACATTTCTCATATTTAATTGATACTAATTCACTCCCTTAGTGACCACTTAACGACTTAGAGTATGATAGGTTCGAATTTAGTAGTAATGTTTAGGAATAATCGCAAAACTTTATCAACTGCGGTATCTATTTACCCCAATCTAGTCATGCGATATTATAAAAATGTCAATTTGCTTTCGATATAGTACAGAGTTCACAATAAGTCAAAGTCCAAATGGCAATTTTCATGTAAGAAAAAAAACCCTCTAACAAGAATTTGCGTGTTGGTTTAACAATTAGATCTCAGTAACAATCGCACCCGAATCGTGATTCGGTTTTACTTGAATATATCTACTGTAATAAATGAATTCCAATAATAAATTGGAAGTTTTACAGTAAATATTTTTCTTATTAAATTGCAAACTTAGTGCAACTTTAAGTGATTATTGACCCTAAATTAATAATTTTGCATATATTCGTATTTATTTTATTCCACATACACAACTAAAGCTTAATTTACCATAATAGCAAACCTGATATTAAGGTCGTAGTCATTTTAATAACGGGTACCAAAAATTAAGTAAACACAATTAAAACAGTATTGTAAATGCGAGTTGATTTTATCGATTTATAATATTTAACATATTTGATGAATTACTGCTTATTAAAACCTTAATTCCTTTTTAATATTCCATAAATTAAAAAAAATAGGAATGCCGATTATAACTGGAGTTTGACCCCAAGTGATAAGGTCGAAGGAGAAATTTTATTAAGTAATATTAAACGTATTATTGTTCAAACAAAAAAATCAAACCTTTAACAGCTACAGACATTATGTTTTTTGAATTAAATTAACAAATAAAAAAACTTTATAAATTAACAAAACACTCTTCGAAACGTTGCAGAACGGAGTAATGCAACATTAACTACGTGCGCACAGATTATAAAGTGGCACCAAACTGAACTGAGTTTCAGAAAGATTATTTTATATACTCTTTGGATTATTTATAGGCGGAAAGTCTAGCTAGTATGTGACATGAAGGTGCGTTAACGAAATATAATTTTAGTGTTTAATAAACATTTTTACGCACTGTTGTGATAAGTAACACAACATAAATTGTTTATAATAGAAGTTAAAAAGTTTAACTACTTGTTATTTTTAATTTCAAAATTTTTATTCTATGGAATCTGTACTCGAACTGTCAAAACGTGACTGATGTCTATTTTCAACCAAATTTTATCTACAACTTGCTTCTGTAAAAATATGCTTATGCAATGAGCGATGGTCGCCCTGTAAATGGTCAATTGAAGAAATTTGTATTTCGTGGGAAATCCGCAAGTAACGGTGATACAAGAGGTGAATATTTGGAAATAGTAATTCCGGAGTTGTTGTCGGCAGGCTACTCGTTTTACACGTGGCCATCAGCACCGCTTTTAGCTTGGTATTTGTGGACGCAACGTCGGCATTTACGGGGCTTACGAGTTCTAGAACTCGGTTGCGGCACAGGACTACCAGGTATATTGGCTGCTAAGTGTGGTGCCCACGTTACATTGACCGATAGTGTTGCTCTCCCCCGATCACTGCTACACTTATCAGATTGTTGTGAAGCTAACGGGCTCGTGCCGGGCCGCGACGTCCATTTACTTGGTCTCGCCTGGGGTCTATTTCTTGCAGAAGTTCATCATTTGCGACCTGTTGATTTGCTTCTAGCTTCAGATTGTTTTTATGAGCCATCACAGTTTGAGGAAGTTCTTTCTACTGTTGCTTACCTACTAGACGGAACTGACGGACGATTTTTGTGTGCTTACCAGGAACGGAGCGCAGATTGGTCCATAGAAGCTCTGCTAAAGAAGTGGGGACTGAAAGGTTCACTGTTGGATTTGGATTCATTGAGTGAAAGCTCAGGCGTAGACTACAGGGCCTTGATAGGCGACAGATCTTTACATTTACTTGAAATAATTTCTGTTTAGGGCATGGCCAGTACCGCAAGAGCAGCTCGCCTGTACGTAGGCAATCTTCCCTGGACAGTTAGTCATCGTCAACTAAGAGAATACTTTGCTCAGTTTGGTCCAGTGCAAAGTGCTAAAGTAGTGTTTGATAGATCTACTGGAATAAGCAAAGGTTATGGTTTTATAGAGTTCTCTAATACATCTGCTGTTGCCAATGCAACAAATAAGCAACTCCACACTATAGAAGGCTATAATTTAACAGTTCAAGCCCAAAACAGTTAGTTTTATAGTCATGGCCGAGGCACTACCAGAATACCCTGACTCTGACTTCTCCGATGAAGATTTATCACCACTTGATATATCTTTTAACAAAGCCACAGACCATGTCAGAAAAATAACCTCAAAGCTAAATAATGGTCAGCTCTTAGAGTTGTATGGTCTATTTAAACAAAGTACTGAAGGCAACTGTAACACTCCAAAGCCAGGCTGGTTAGATGGAAGGGGACGTAAAAAGTGGGAAGCTTGGAAAACTTTACTAGATATGCCAAGTGATGAGGCAAAAGAGAAGTATGTTGCCTTAGTTGAGAAATATGACCCTGAATGGGGTGATGGAAGTGTTGAAAATAAAGGTGATAAAGAAGCATGGGTGGCAGTTTCATCACTCCGTTACAGTCCAGAACCAGAACTGGTGCACAATGAACTATCCATCTTGGAAGCTGCTAGAGAGGATCTAGGAGATAGAGTTAAAGATCTCTTAACTCAATATCCGGAGCTTAAAAATAAAAAGGATGAAGATGGGTTATCAGCATTGCACTGGGCGGCAGATAGAGATGCAGTTTCCGCTTTAACTGCTGCTGTTGAGGGTGGTTGTGATATTAATGCAATGGATGACAGTGGCCAGACCGCCTTGCATTACGCTGCTTCTTGTGGTCACGTTAGTTCAACAAAACTGCTAATAAAGTATGGAGCTGCTATGCTCAAAGATGAAGAAGGCAATACACCAATAGATTTGGCTGCTGATGATGAGATAAGGAACATTCTGGAAGGTGCACAGTAGTTTAGTTTTTTGGGCATTAAATAAAATTAGAATTGTACATTTAATTTAAAAATTGTAATACACAAAATAAAATTAACTATTAAAATAATTCTTATTATTATGGATGGGATTGAAGGATGACATATACTTAGAATTAGTGAAAATATTTCGTAGTTACCACACTTCAGAAAAAAAGTTCCCTATTTTTATTGCCTTGTTGCTATTATTACGTTACGAAAGTGACACGACGAAAGAAAAGATTTCGTTACTTTCGCAACAAAAAAATCTTATGCCTCAATTTTATAAAAATGACTGCTAAATAAAACAACTAATAAAGTAATAATCCACCCTGCAATCATATGATTTATTTTATTAACGAAATATAAAACTTATTTGTTATAGTGACATTATTGTTTTAAATCTCCGCAATGGCAACATATAGGCAAACTTTTTTACATACAAAATTTTTTTATCTGTTGAGTAAATTACTGTAAGATGATTTAATAATTTTCCCATATTTACATAATCTTGATTGCATCAATTGCCAAATAAAATTACAGGAATATGATAAAAAATAACATGTTTTACGTAAAAATATTTTATACTTGTAACCACAAGGTTTTTCATAAAAAACAAATTGGACTCTACAAGATTTAGCTGTTGATTTGGGTAAATATACAGTTAAATCTCTATAAGAAAGAGTCTTTGTCCAATCCAAATGGACAACCTCCATAAGTCAGAAACTCGGGTTAGAGGGAAACCTTTACAAGCAAGAAAAATATCGCGGTCCCTGACTCGCGCTCTATTCTTTTGTTGTAATGTCACGCAGTTATTTGACAAGTTGCTAAATAAATTTGGTCATTATTTTTTTTAATACTATAGATGAAATATATTTCACCATATCGTATAATAACGAAAAGGTTAATAATTTATTATCGAAATTATAATTTTTATTTTGATTTATTTCATGATTTAGGGTTGATTTTAATTAATTAGAAAAAGCAATTCATTTATGTTACTTAAAAATTATTTTCATTGAATTTTATACATTTTGTAGGTTAGAGTAATATTAAGGCATAACAGGACACGTTTTGCCTAACACCTAAATAAATTACAATAAAAATTACACAGTTTTCGCATATCGTAAGAAAATAATCTTGCACACTTAGTCCTAACTTAATATTAAGTTATTAGTCTTAAATATCATTATTCTATACAGTCTGTAAGAATTGCTTCGTTAGTTACACGGTCAAATGTGTGGGCGACTACATCGCCCAATATTGGACATGTGGGCCTAGCCCATTACCCAAAAGCCCATTTCTAGGACTATCCCAACAGTTGAGTGGACGTGGGTTTAGTTTTTAGCTCACTGTTGGGCGTGGGATTGAGTCCAGTCCATTCGCTAGTTGTCCTTTGTATCCTTGTGTCCTTCTCCTGAGTCCAATTGCTTAAGCAACCTGAAGAGCGCGGCCGCTTCCCTGATCCTACTGAATTCTACGCAAAACGCCTCCACTTCTATGAATAGTTCCTATAATAAAAATAAATTGACCTTAAAGATTAAACTAAAACTACTGCTACTACACATTAGACTAGACTAGAAAGATTATTGGCCACTAAGAAGCACTTTTACAGCGGAATCTTGGTCTCGTTAGTTTTGTCCAACTATGGCCATGTAGACCATTACCTTAACATTGATGATCTTGTTTCTGATGAGAGACTGCAGGAAGACGCATACGAGCCTGACGAGCCGGTTCTGCATGTAGCGGTCACGGATTGTCTCACAAGTTGAGATACAGTTGCTGATGTACAGATGCACGAACTCCACCGGCAGGTCCACTGACGTTGTTAGCCTGCACACATAAATTCCCCATAGTTGATCTCAAAACTGATTTAGTTGCTCTTATCTATTGGACTCCAATCTTAACGAGATAAGCGTAGGTTACCTGTTAACGACCTCCATGGAATGCAATGACATCTCCATGTTGACAAGCACACTGAAGTACTCGGTGATGTGCTGCGAGTGGATCAACTTTAGCAGCACTGAGATTGCCACCATTGGGTTGTTCTCCACCAGCTCCGGCAGCTAAGTATAAGTTTAATACAATTAGAAAAAAAAGTAAAGATAAAAAACAATACTTTGTAAGGTAGTAGGGTGAATGCGAAATTACTTGGTAGGGCGTGACACCGATCTCGTAGACGATGTTGGGGTCCTGGTCTAGCAGTGCCAGCAGGCGCTGCTGGTGCGGCACACTGAGCGCGCCCTTCAGCGCAAGCTGGGTCAGCTCACGCGCTTCCGACAACGCGCCCGCCATATCCTTCTCCTCTGGCTTCTTCTCCTCACGTTCTTCTTTTCTCTCTTTCTTCTCCTCCTACATGTGACAAAATGATCCTGAAGAACCTTACTCTTGATTCGAATTGTGAATTAATAACTTAATTTGTTAATATTTTTACACTTAAGTCTATCGAAAAAGATAGTTTTGTAAATAAAAATAACTCTATGTAGAAAGTAGTAATGTGATCTATATAACTCATACAAGTTTTTTTTAATTATATCTTTTAAGCTATACCTTTGTCTTAGGCTGTTGTAGGACTCTTCTTTCTGGAACTTTCTCTGGCGGTTTTAAACCAAGCAATCCTTCATAGTCAGTGTCGTATAGCGGTAGGTACGCGCCATGGTTAACCAGGTTTTTCCAAACACCCTATAACCAAAGTTAATTTCAACATAAAAACAACCCATTGGTACTTTTTTAATATATGCCGTAGTTTTAATTTCACATTCTCGCATCTTTTATTAAAGTAATTTAAATTAAATCTCTCTCGCTCTGTCATATTATGGTTCATTTGACCATTTCGGTTCCGTGACAAGTGTAGGTGTCCATTACTATGCCACTTACCTCATCAGCAAAGGATATCTCAGTGGGGTCGAGCAGGAAAGTGGGAGGTGGAATGGGTCCGGCGGCGCGCAGCGTGCGGTGCAGTGGCAAGTAGTCGTTGCCCATTAAGGCCTCCAGTAACTCCTTCATCGCTATGCGGTTAGGCGGACTCCTGCAATTATATCAGACTCATGAACTATTTTAAATATTGAACTATATTGTAATATAGTATAATTTCCTTCTTTGAATATTATAATTGCAAAAACTACTAGGATCTATGAGCTTAGTTACAAAGAAAGGTAATTCACAATTATTTAATCACTAACTAAAAAAAACATGAGTACAAACCCATCACCAAGTGGTATAAGTGCTGATACAGTCGCCTTGGCCACTGAGCTCGTCTCTATCGCCCTCTCAGCTAATACTGATTGCAGTGATGAATAGTCAAAATCTAAATCTTTTGATATAACTTCCGTTAACATTACTTGCTTTGCTGTTTTCTTTAATATCTGGTTGAAAATGAAAACATGAATTAATATCTGGTATAGATTTTAAATATAAAAATGACAGCTTCTAGAACATAAACAATAACTTTACCTGCCTCATCAATCTTTATAAGCTTATACTTTCTATTTTATTTATACAAGAATACAGTAAATATACAACTGGCCGCTTGATAGCTAAAATAGACAAAGCTGTCTAAAACAAATCCTAGCCAAAGAGTAATACGGGCTTCGGGCTTCCCCGTAGTCTCTGTGTCAAGCTCCCATTAACATGGCATATCTAACTATTTGGTTATTGTTGCATTGCCTCACTCAACTTCTTTCCTCCATCCATTCACTCCCTTCACATGGCCAAGCAAAAAAAGTACACACATTAAACTAAACTTTGTTTACTTACATCTTTTATATTTACAGGCAGGAATCCAAAGAGTTGTCCAATAAATAACCTCTCTTGAGGAGCTAAGGGTAGTAAACCTGGTTTGCCTTCTAAAAGGTGCAGGAATAAAGAACTGAATGGGTTCTCTTGCTTGTATGCGTCAAATATGATGGCCAGAGCTACCACACGCTGTCCAGGGAGGGACAGGTCCCCTCCCGTGATTAATGATGATAGAAGAAGACATACTGTGAAGATATAAGATAATTATTTAGAGAAAAAATATTTTGAACCTTGAAACTTTTATTTTAAGTCAATAGTGCCTTTAAGTCATATTTAAACAATAATTTGTGGTTCGTCTTTAGCCAATCACTGGTTAAAATCAGACACAAGTAGCATCTGGGGCAGTTGGATATAGAAATAATGTGTTTTAAAAATGACATTACTAATCTATCTATTCAAATTTTCCTTCCAAAATAAACTAGATAAAACCTTAGTAATAGTATTAGTTGTGATATAAATACTTTTATAGGTACAGATTATTTGACAGCTGTTTTGCTTTGTTTAAACACAAACAATTAATAAACTTATCATTCAACCAAAAGCATAATTACTGACAGTTGAAATGTTCTGTTTTAGGAAACCTTTTCTGGACTTGCGTGGAGAGGATGTCTAAAGCTTGTGAGTCAATCGTCTGTTCAGAAAATAAGCTGGAAATAAAAATACTTTGTTTAATCTGAACTGTTCTTTGTAGACCTTCAAAAGAATTATAAAATTAACACACAACATACTCTAAAATATATTTGCTTTGTTCGTTTATCAACTGTTGCGACATTTTGCAAAGCATCAAGCAAAAAATCTTTTAAAATTATATTTTGTTTTGAATTATGATTAAAGTTTTATAGGTTGCATTTGGTTACATCTCCAGCTGAGATTTCATGTGTCAATCTGAAATGTCAACGATCGTCAACGTCAATGTCACAACCAAAGATTATAGAAATGGAATTTGGCTTTACAGTAAAAAGTGAACATTAAATTGAACATTTATTTACATTTACATTTGATTATAGAATTTTGGCCAAGAACAGCAATCATAAGTGCTCTGTCCAGGACAACAAAAGTTTTCACTATCAGTCCCGTATCATCCTTTCTGTGTCTTGAACTTTGAGTTGTCGTAGGTCGATTCGACTACCGTAAACACGTTCCATACTCCGAACACTAAGCGCTCTTTTTAGGTGACTGAGTAAGAGGAGTCTGTGCTAACGACAACAGAGGTGGAGGGAGCAACCAAGATGGGTGGAGCTGTGGACACATTGTCCTCGCCATCTGTTCCATAACGAGGAATTATGTCATTAACTGCCACACTCAAGAGGTGTTAATCGGTCTCTGGGCCCAAACTTCCAATACTACAATAAGGAAGACTAATAATCGACTCTGAATGCCGCTGTATAATAAAAAAGATAAGATATTTACTTTCACTGACACGAAAGTTAAGTGTATCCTCGGTAGCAATCGCAAAGGCATGATTTTGGAAACTTAGAAAATGCTAATAGAATGTAACGTTTTTTAGTTATTATTGTTGCATGCATACGAAATCGTGGGCAATAGCTAGTATTACATTTACCAATAACAAATTACCAATCAGCTTAAGACACCTTTAGATTTGTACAGAAACTTATCTCTGGAGAGAGAGCTCTCTATAGAGCTCTAAAATTCTATCACGTTATTTTTTTAAAGAACGAGAATTCTAATTGCATTATAAGTTTCAGGATATATTTAGACAGTACAGAAAAGCATATCATGACAATATTGACTAACCGATGCCGTTATCACAAAAATTTAGATAAAAAATACAAAGCGAACAAACTGTGCCCGACTAGGTCGTAGCTGCCCAGTTATCATCTTAGCGTTAATTATTACCGTTCGCTCTTTTTATCGTGCTCATTTCTCGCGGCGATAAGATTAGAACAGTCATATGTCGCACTGCAGCGCCACTTTTGTTAAGAAATCGTCCTTTAAATTTTTGCTTGGCAATTGAATAACAAAGTAAACGTTATTTCATGCGGAAAAGAAGGAAAGTGATGTTGAAAATAAGTGTTGTGGTGTTTCGATATGAGAGACTATCGTTCAACAACAGTCATGCATAACGTTAGGCCACTGGAATTAATTTCAAGGATTAGTGAGCCGCATCGAAGTCGGTCATCCTCTTGGTCATCATGGAGACGAAACAATGATCTGCAGAGATCGGAACCTCGATTCTCTTTGCAATATCAGGTACTTAATTATTTTCCCGCATTTTTTGTTTTAAAGTGATTTATCTTAGTCTTAGGTATTCTTGTCTTACACTTTACACCAATTTTAGGTGTAGAATGTCACGTTCTTTAAAGAGCAATAATCTTCGTAGCTGTATATTGAAGTTAAGTAAGAAAAATATAAAAACAAGAAGTATTTTCTACCAAGTTAAATCGGTGGTTATTAACAGAAGTTTTTTTTTAAATAACAATGTTTTTGCTGGTAATCGATTTTTTGTGACTATTTTACCATTTTTTATGATAGGAGTCAAAATATGCCAACGTGAAAAATGACCTCTTCGTCCTAGTCCCTTCAAAATCGGTCCAGCCGCTCCGGAGATAACCTTGGGGATAGACATACAAACATCATCAACCTGCCCTTATCCCTATAGACATACAAACATGAAAACTAAAAAAAGATGTTTTTCGTTTTAAGCTATGCCAATTTTATTAGTTATTACTTAAAATGTATAGATATATAATATTATATGTTTTATAAAAATGATTTCGGTTTTTTATTGATAGTTGATTTATTGTTTTTCTACCGTCTACTACAAAACATACGTAGAAAGGAATGCAATGCGTAAAAATTGACAAAGGCTGTCAAGCTGTCACTTGATTTGTCATACAAGGCGCAGCGCAGTGGATAGCTTTAGCAATATTTTATTTTTTTATTTATGTGTATATGTGATTATAAAATTTCGCATGAATCTGGTATTTAGGCTTTCCGTTAAAGCCTATAATAGGTGTGAATTTCTGATGTTATTAAAGTGCAGGACAAGTTTAATGGTGTTGCAGAAGAGTATTGGATAGCTAACGTGTCATAACATTTAAGTTATTCCAACCGATGTAACACTAAAAAGTGTTTGACTTGTTTACAATTCAGTTTATAAATTAGTTTGTTTTCACATGGGTGATGGCTTGGCAGTCGGATACACGTGTAAGTGTTCAAAAATTCTATTCTAACAAAACGGAAAACACATAACTTATTGTAATTCATTGCTATGCAAATATGTCCTTGTAATTGATTTGATATTTAAACGAATACTTTTGAGACAGAGGTTCTTGTAGGCGCTCGTGTGTTTGTTAAGTTGTAAATATGTTGAAAAGTGGTTTTGTTTATTTTCGTACTCTTCAATTGTGGATGTCATTAGTTGGCATAGTTTCATTGTTGTTATCGACTTTTTACAATTATCATTAGTATCTGTTGTAAATTCTATAGAAATAGATATGTTCAAAATGATTACTTTTGGTCAATATTAAGTTTTTTTAATAATTTAGGTCCATAAATATTGCAATACAAAGGGCTTAAGGCCAGTAGTTATTATAATTATCTGTCGCCTCTTTATATAATGAGATAAAAAAAAATGTTTTTTTTTTAAATATTTATAGTACTTATATAATTTATTAGTATTTTTTTAATTTATTACAAATGCATATTAGATGCATTCAGCTGTTATAAATTTTTGGTTTAATGTTTACATAAAAGTGTTGTTGGAAAACCTCAGAAATTTATATCTATAAAGATAATATGTAACTTATATCTATTTAAGTATCTGCAATACCCAGCCAGCGTGGTTGACTATGGCCTAGTCACCTCTAAGTTAGGGTAAGCTCGAGCCCCTCAGTTCGGCCTTATAGTGAGCTGATTATCAACATGGCTTAGTTCATGTGATAGTCACACATAATATCTTTTTTTAAGTCATAATAACATTACTTAACATTGTTGGAAATAGGCATTAGTGACTTAAGGTAGTGACGGTCAGAGTTGTGGGCAACGGCTAGTATGTTTAAATATGTGACCTTGAACTATATTTCTCTTACATTACCTTCTGAATATACAACCTTGACAAGAGATAAAAAATTATAATTAATAATACTTTTCATCATGTGTTTTCCTTCTACCATAGGTTTCTACTGCCAAAACAACTGTATAAAGCAATTAGTTGACAAATATAAAAAAAGTTGAAATTGATGTTCAATATGAGATTACTAAGATACTGACCACATTCTTAAGTGAAATCTAAGTTTATGGATTCTAAGAGAAAGATTTGCATTTGTATTTAAGCTATACTTACTGGGTCAACACAGGGACCCAAAGTGGGTCTAGGGCATGAGAGACTGACAATGCTGCCGGTCTTGTTAATTTAATCATATACATTACAATAAAATTGGAGTGTCGATATTTAGTTCACATGATGTAATTTTTAAAATTTTTGTCTATCTGTAAGTTTGCAAGTGCTTGTTCTGGGTTGTTTCTAGAGCGGGTGGCCCGATTTTGATGGGTCTTAAGTATCATGTTTTGAACATCTTTCACTCTGTTCTATTGATTCAGCTATTTCAGGTGGCCGCTCACTTGTTTGCCACCTTATGCTATAAAAAAAGTAGTTAAAGCAATAGTTGACATAATTGAACTTTGTCTGTTATAATAGTAATTAATTTGAAACATGCTGTATAAACTAAGTTGAGTGTTAAAAGGTACATTAATATCATATTTAAAGCAAAAAATACAACTTAAGTTTTCTTTACAGACGGACGAGAACAGTTTTCTTCTTCGTCTGAAGATAATCGGCGCTTTCTCATTAGCTAAGAAGGACATCTTTGGTGCTAGGTAAGATATTTAGATATAATAGTGACTAGCTTATCATATTTTTTAGGGTTCCTTACCTCGAAAGGAAAAAACAGAACCCTTATAGGATTACTTTGTTCGTCTGTCTGTCAAGAGCCTTTTTCTCAGGAACCCGTGAAGGTATAAAGCTGGATTTTTTTTTATTATTAAATTGTATAAACAGTTTATTGAAAATACCAATTCATGGTACAGTTGTACTTGGATATGCAAGAGTTGCACCTCACTTATAGAGGTTTCTTTCTTATCTCCATTTCTCACTTATGGAATTGTAGTCCATAACAATGACTCACTTTTAGGGGATTCCCGTGTATCGAGATTCGATTGTATATTATTTCTGAAGGCAAGATTAGTTGTTAACTAATATTTTTGTTAAGGAGACATGCACCTTATTGTATAGCTAATAACACCTATTGCATGTCACCAAAGACTTCTATAATACTGATCAAGTTATGATCTGTGGCTGCATTATTCTATAACTATATGTTTGCCCAAGTGTCATTTGTTCTTTAAGCATTTCTTTCCATTAAAGCTAAAGTCTAGTATTTCTTATAGTATAAAATATTAACCTCATACAGCCACTTTGTGTACTCTGTTAGTTGACTTAGTGACCTTTAAGAAAGGGGTATAGGGGTTCCTCTGGAGTTGCAAATGTTTATAGGATCCAATAAATTCTGGCTATTGCTTGTTTGATCAATTCTCCTATGAATTTACTATATTTAGAGTTGGTTATTATACTAGAATTTTGTTTACCTCAATCCTTTGTTTAGTTTGTCCTGTTAATAAATCCACTCTAATGTTATCTCTTTTTCATGACTTGCTTTGTTTTATAAAATGTTTTATCATGCAATAAATGATACATCATAGTAATGTATATGTTATTGGATTATACTTCTGCTTTTAATGATTCATTTAAAACTTTTTCAAGTTCCACTGCCGAGGAATAATAATAATTAAATTAATTTGTGCAATCATTAATCTTACTTCTTATTATAAATGCTAATGCTTTGATGGATGTTTGTTTGAAGATATCTTCAGAACGGCTACATGAATCTCGTTGAATTAGCATAGGTGTAGGACTTAACCTGGAAAAACACATAGGCGACAAATTAAGTTCTTTTTTATTTCTGTGCGGAAGGAGTCGCAGGCGACAGCAAGAGATTCCTAATACTAAATCTTCACTTAATGACCCTCAGTGTGTACCGTTATGAAATTTAACCACAAATAATACAAATGACTTGATAAGAGTTCTCAGCTGTCATGTACACACAGCAAACTACTACCAATTGATGATCTCATTCAACTTATCTGTTGCATTTAATCGGTCTATACCAATCCATTTTGAAATTACAAATAATTTGTACTATCTGACGCGCGATATTTAAATAAAAATTTAATTAGAAGCCAATGTGTTCTTCCAGACTAAGGTCTACAAGCGTGCCAAATTTCAGCGAGAGCCATACAGCCGTTCTTCATACATCCTAACCAAACATAAAAACTTTCGCATTTATAATATTAGTAAAATGTTTTTCAGTATATTTGAATAGTAGCGTGCAAATAAATCCATTTTAATCCGTCAACTTACATGCTCGATCTATTTCGATGACTCGTGAGATTTATTGTGTAAGGATAGTATCAATAAATCTATTAACACTCAGATGTGGGTCATTAACAATGAAGAGGATTAAGGAGACCATTGAAGGTCACTCAGAGTTGGTTGTGTACGAGATTCTAAAGCAGAGAATTCAAAACTTTTTACACACTTTGTTTCGGTGTACTCTTGTTGCTACGTTTCTTCTTCAACTTATTGACATTCAATTCTCTTTTCCCCCGCTGGGTCAGCACGGTTGGGGAACAACTTAGGGTCCTTGATAGAAAGGGGGCGCTACATATATGCGAATTTAATGGTCTCACGTAGTCCTGTTAAACTCCCCCCCACCACAAAAGCATGTTAATAAAAGGGATGCCGTGAAACTCTAGCCCAGAGCTTTGGTAGTGCTAAAAGCGTCACTATCCAAGGGAAAGAAGCCCATATGGAAAGTCCACAACTGTAGAAAACTTTAGAAAACTTCAAATTCAAATACCTAGTAGCCTATATCCTCCGGGAGTATAGCTCACCAACAGTAAAAGAGTTTTTCAAATCCGTTTCTTCGTTTCGGAGCATTAAACAAGCATTAAAGCAAATAAACAATTAAACATTTCCTCTTTATAATATTAGCATAGAAAAATACGCAGTATCAGAAAATATGGCCACGTCATACTTAGCTTCCTCGACATTTTAAAATGCGACCTTTACACATTTGATATTCAAGGAAATTGTTTCCCATTGTGTGTATTGAAGAATATTATTGGTGTACGTAAAACTAAAAAATTAAAACACGTGATAACTTAATGGATTCAATTTCAGTCATTAATTAATTTTTATAAGCAACCTTCATGACGTTGTTATGATTTCGATCAGAAGGTAAATATGTACGGCACCGATTTCTTATCGAATTGTGGACGATAATAATCGGTCATTAACATAAAATAATGAGAGCACTGAACCTGTTGATGGTAATTTACTATACCTTAATGATTCTATATAAATAAAACAGTTTTTTTTTTTCAAACTGAATTTCTTTGACATATTATTTTACTGTTTAGAAGAAAGAAAAAAATATTGACTGATTTGTGAAATTCTTTCTACACTCCTTATATTAAAAAGTTAGACGATTATACATTGTAATTTTCCGACTGACTCAAGAACATAATGTTTTTGCGCGTATACACATTTTTATGTATTAGGGTTTGTATGTTATATTGTGACTTCTTATATCTTAAACGTCTAAACCAATTTAAATGAGCAAGGTGTCGTATGATTCGTATTTTTCCCCAGACTGTCACATTTTTATGGTGAAGAAATACGTTACGATGCAACCTGCACATATCTGGAAAGAAATTCATAGATATGTGTGAAGTTAACACGCACTCGGCCAGCGTGGTTGGGTACACTTCGAGCCCCATAGTGGGGATGTATAGAGAGCCGATGATGATAATGTGTTTATAAAATTTGTATTTCTTTGCAGTGATCCGTACGTACGCGTGGAGCTACAGAAGATAGACGGTGACGTCACTGTAGAAACCTTCCTCACCAAGACCAAGAAAAAGGTGATGTCAGACTTAAATTATGTCCAATACCGCTGACAATTAAATAGGCATACGTAAATTTGTCAATATATCGTTTCCACTACTGTAACATGTATAATACTATAACATAGACGAAATATATTGTACCAATAATCAGCTCATAGTCACCATAGACAATTTGTTTTCAAGGACTTCGATAATAGAATGTCAATGTAATTTGTTTTATAATTTATTTACGTTGTAACAAAGTTGTAATATTTTTTCAGACCTTGAACCCAGTATGGAATCAAGAGTTCATTTTCAGAGTGAGTATTGTTTTTATTGCTAATTATAACTACCATATCTTAATAAATAACGTCAAGATTTTTATATCAAAGTGTTGTCAACGGTCATCTATCGGAAGCGATGGTAAATGGAAAGTATGGATTGATTGTGTGAAAGAGGACGATAGTTGATGAAGATGTATGGAAGACAGTTCATTCTGTGACCATCCGATGTGGTGATTAGGAAACAATCCTTGTAATGCCTGGTTTACATTATGCCAGTGACAGTAGCACTCAAAAAACTGGCAAACCACTTGTATAATGTAAACATTAACTGGTGTTTGTAAGCCCATCTATTTAATGCCAGCGCTACTGTCCTACTGTACTGGCATAACGTAAACAAAGCAATTGCAATAACAAAAGACAAATGCCAAAAACAATGTACTGTATGTTCATGTTTTTCTTATTTTGAAAATTGCCTCTCAATCTTACCTATTTCTGGAGCGGTTATTTTTTTACCGGACTTCAAAAAGAAGGAGGTCATTGTTTTCGGCTAGTAAGCCTTTGTGCGTATTTATTCGTATGTTTTTTTTAGTTTGTTTAAGTGATTGACTCACGACTAGGTCATTCGCCTGATGTGAACATATCTTGCCGTTATAGTTTGGTCATTGGTTTAAAAAAATCTTCCCATTAACGCATTTACTATTAAAATTGAAAACCTTACGGTATTCTTGTAATTTTATTAACCTTTGTCCTTTTTATCTAAAAAACTATAAACCAAAATAAATTTTTATGTTAAGAGTGGCTGCAGACGACAGGTTGTTCGCGTACCATGTAACTTAAGGCGAATGCATTCACGTTCTCAAATTACTTCATCACCAGCTGACAATTTAATGTCGAAAAAGTCCCGTAAAATATAAAAAATATATAAAGTCTTGTTACTATCTTACTTTTCATTTCTTATTAATATTATAAATGCGAATGTTTGTATGTATGTAGTATGGACAGATGGATGTTTGTTTGAAAGTATCCCCAGAACGGTTGCATAGATCTCTCAGAAATTTGGTATAGATGTAGACCATAGTCCGCAAGAACGCATAGGCTATTAATTAGGTTTGTTTTTTTAATTCCGTAAGTACGGAGTTGAGGTACGCGGGTGACAGCTGGTTGTCATAAATTAATTTAAAAAAGGATTGCTGTATGTTCCATGGTATGCCTAAAATCTATATATTATAGTTGCCGCCCGCGACTCCGTCTGCGAAGGATTAAATAATAGATAGTAGCCGATTCTTAGACCTACTCAATATGCTCACAAAATTTCATGAGAATCGGTCAAGCCGTTTCGGAGGAGTATGGGAACGAAAATTGTGACACGAGAATTATTATATATAAGATTATTTTGTTAGTTTCTTTGTGTATTTTAAGATAATTTTTATCTCCAACACTCAGCGCACGTTAGAGATTTGTTTCAGTATTTATTGTTGTTATCATCATATTGTATTATTGAATCTGAGCTGATTCATTTTCTAGTGTTTCTTTTACAACTTGAGTTTTAGGATCGTGCTTGATTGTTTATTGGCATCGAACCAAAACACTTTCGTTGTAAATGTCCATTTGTAAGATAGTTTCAATTTTTCAGGTTTTGAGGTTATTTGTTGATTTTATTCAATGTAGCAGATTCCGTTTAGTAATTTACTAGGATTATTGTAAAAATACGCGATAGATTTTGCACTTTTTTTTTCAATTCCCAAAAAAAAGAATGTTATACATTTTTGTCATAGTAACAATATTGTAACCTCCAAATCAACCCCTTCCATGGTGATGATTTAACAGCGGCTTAATAATTATTCTCATCTATAAAAAAGCCAGTTCGCAGTCTCCTTGGAGAAACTATTAGGGCTTCCATATACTGTAATAAACGCGCTCGAATACAGACCAATTAGGACGATATTTATGTACGTTGACATTGACTTATTATATTTAAATATACTAAATAAAACTTGGTTAATTTTAAAAATACAACTAATAGTCGTTAATACTGTCTTAAGTACTTTTGACATCTCAGAATTAAAAAAAAAATCGGTGCAGGCTAGCGCTAAGAATTGATCTCAGGATACTTATGATCCTGTTAATTGAAGATATCTCGGTAACTGCAATTAATCTGGATTACAATGAATTCCAGGTGAAACCACAGGAGCAGAAGTTACTAATCCAGGTATTCGATGAGAATAGACTGACGAGGGATGACTTCCTGGGCATGGTGGAGATCCCGCTGGCGGGCGCGCCCACCGAGTCCGCCGCCGCGCCGCGCCCTCCACCCGCTAAGTACCCCCTCCGTCCGCGCAGGTCTGTGTAAGTAGCGCCTCCAGCATGCAGTGCCTTTGTTTCTCTTTTATTTATTGCCCTTATTATTAGCTTCTAGACTAGTGGAAAACGAATTCGCTCAAGACTTCAAATGTGTAGCTTAAGTGGGCATTATCTTTTGTCAGGCCTTGATCTGTATTCGGAGTGGCATTTATCTGGTCACCGATATAATAAAAGCACCATAATATAATTAAAAAGAGTAATAATATTATCACTTTGGAATGAAGAAGTTAGTATCGTCAGAGATGACTAGATGGGTAGGCTAGGTTGTCCAGGTCCAGGGTTTCAGATTGGGATGAATTATGAGTCTAACTAATATGTTAAGAGTACAATAATTGTAATAATTTAATAGTAATAAATTAATAAAATAATATACTTTTCACTTATCAATAATACATATATCTGTCTAAAGGACATAGCGAATGGATAGATATCATTGCGTGACTGATGTAGATATTGAGTTTACTCCATTGCAATATGAAGTCGAGGTATTCCCGTAAGTAACATATCAGTAGCATGTGTTCGCAGTTTGTGTGTCTGTGTCTCTGTGTGCACATGTAGATGGAAATAGACGTCGCATTACAGTATTTTCTTCTAATTCTTCATTGTTTTCGATGTTTTTATTTAAATTTTGAAGACATAGATGTGTCAATATGTTTATAAGGATGTATCTACGCTTGTACTTCTCTGGTCGTTTGCGTGTGACGCTTTCTTTCAATCACTTTTAAGTTTGCTCTGTGAGATATGTATGCACTTGTAGAATATATGTTTAGATTGGATGTACATATCTATATAAATTAAATCAAAGTATCACTGGATCTATTTAAAATTCCAGATGTTTGTGATTCATGGGTAAAGTATTGGGCATAGAAATGCTCCTTGAGGTACACCAGAACTTTTTTTGGTGGTTAAAAGTTTTCTTTTATATTTTATCTATATATTTAAAAAACGATTCTCATCAATACTGGCGTGTATTGATCCTCTGCGTGATTATATATTAATTCGTGATTCAATTACATAATATGTGCTTTACAATGTCAAACGCTGCGTTAAGGTCTAAACTTTATAAAGTGAGGTAAAGATAGTTGTTTATTAGTTTTCAGTTTGTTATAGCTGTTGGTCTGTGTGTGTAGTGCCAGGTCGCGTGTGCGGGGCCACATCGAGGTGTACGCGGCGCTGGTGGGCCGTGTGGGCGAGACGGAGGATGAGAGCGAGGCGAGTCCTGCGCCCGCCGCCGACGGCTGGGAGATGGTGGAACCTGAAGCGCAGACCGGCACCGTGCAACCGGTGAGTGATGCATTGTTACTCTGAGTTTATATCGTCGAAAATTTGTATAAAAACATATTTTCATCTGTCATTAAACTGGAATTTCACGGTTCATGTTTGTTTTTTTATGGGGTGCTGAGAAACCGAGAATATTTCTTTTATTTAATTGAAACACGAGTCCTGAATAACTTCGTTTGATCATCTTTGTTGATTTATTTTGAAAAGATAATAAAGATTATTAGATCAGTGGTAAAGCTGAATTTTGCACTGTTAGGTTGGCACGATCATTCAGACGGTACCCTCGTTTACCGGTGACGATGAATGGGAGTTGGTGGAGACGGCTTACTTGAACCATTTAGTAGGTGTTTTTTTTAATTTTGCGATTATTTAGAAAGCTTAATTTTTGCATGTATATATATTTTAACGATATGTATGAGATCCCAAATATATGTATTGCGAAAAAGTTGACATTTTGGTTAACTTAGTATTCTTCATGGGCCCAAAGCACAAAGCTGCGACTTGATAGAATTATTACCAATTAAGATTTACAAAGATAGGAAGTGGTGAATTTCTACATTAATAATTTATCTAACAATTTTTCTATTAGAAAAACAATAAATAGATGTTCCTTTTTATTCATGACTCATTTCTTTCATACATTAAGAGAAGAAGTTTATATATTGTATGTCGCTTAATCACCTACAATCCATATTCTATGTGTCAGGGTTAATGTTTTTAATAATACAATATTGCCTAACATTACCATTTTGCCACCAAAATTAATCTAACGTAACCTCTTCTATATTGAATCAATATAAATCAACACGTTGAGTGTCACCGACACGCTCCGTGAGTTTATTTTGTAAGGAGATAATATTAGTGGTATGGAATGTGTTGGTATACATTGTTGCAGACGATTGGTGGTGACCCGCTGCCGCCTGGCTGGGAGGAGCGGCAGGACGCTAACGGACGCACCTATTATGTCAACCATATAGCCAGGTCCACGCAATGGGAACGTCCTACATTCACGTAAGTCAGCTTTGACAATATTCATTCATTTTAACAGTGGTAGAGCCCGATTTAACATCTTCGCACGTATTGGCCCGGTCCGCCCGGTGAAATACCACGACCACACAGAAGACAGGCCTGAAGTGGAAGCAATTCCGCGTGCAGTCTGATGAGTGTGCGTCCCGGAGGCCTCAGTCCTCTTTCCCTTCCCATCCTTTCCTTTCCTTTATAAGGAAAGGATGGGAAGTGGAAGTGGACTTTACGGATGAGAGGATGCATGGAAAGGGAAGATATTTTCTTTCTGTGCATCCTCTCCTCCGTCGATTAAAGGTAGGCAGCGCATATGCAATTGCGTATGTCTATGGGCAACGGTCACTTCGCTATTTCAGCGATTTCAGGTGGCTGCTCGCTCGTTTGCCACTTTTTGATATTAAAAAAAAAATCATATTGCATTGATTTTTTATAATGTCAAGCGGTTTTGAAATGTTTTTGAATGTTTGCGGATACTACTTATGGGCACCGATTAATTTCCTCAATTCCGCTGACCAAAGTAGTCTTATCTTAATTGGTGTTGACACCGAACAAAGTCAACACGAGTTTATCCTTTTAATTAGTTAATAATGTTTAATGAAAAACGTAATAATTACTATTTAGTATTTAATACTGTGAAAGGTGATCATAACGACGAAGGTGATGATGATGATGATGATGATGTTAGTTTATCATTGCGCAGTCGCAATATAAGTACGGAAACTCAAGCGGAGCGCATGGAGACAGCGGCCACGGAGTTCCAGAGGCGGTTCCACATCTCAGCTGACGACGAGCACACTAACAGCCCGCAGACCGGCAACCACCAGGTATTACAAATTGTACCTTATCTCAATCGCTTTAAATCTGTTTTACTTTGTCTTAAATTGCTTAAGGAAAAATGCGATAAATAGTTATCATTTATAATTCTGCTTTGAATATTTAAATTAATATATATAATTTTTTGTTACCTGTTTAGTTGAAATGCATGTGTAGTTTGAAATTGGAATTAAAAAAAATAAATGCATGTTATATATTCGAGAAAAGGGCGAACAGAATCATCATCAGTGACACGAATCACTGACTTCTTGTCACTGTGTACCTGTCACCTGTCACATTTGGTCAAGGGACTGGTTTGAAGTTAATTTATATGCTAACATAGGATTCGTATGTTAAAGTACGCGATCCTTTTCTACGAGATCTATGTTTGTGTGAATGTCACCGCATCTTAATTGTTGTCTGTATCCTGAGATATTAAGATATTAAGTTGGTTATTTTGCATGATTGTATGACAAATATAAAATGTATTTATGACTTAAAAATAGCACTAGATTTGCATTATTATTTTTCATTATTTTTTTTCTCGCAGCATGGGCTTCCGCAGTTTGAGGGAAAAATAATTCATTAAATTAAGTTTCTTTTAAATCACAAGGATTTTAACAATAACCCATACATTACAGGCGTCAGGTTTGCACTAACATATCCACAACAACTTAACATCAGCAGCGACATTCATTGTTCTATTGTTTATGGCTCTGCCACACGTTGCCGGTGTGTCATTGTGTTGTCCTTACCATAGACAATTTTGCGGCCCAACAAATGTATCAAAATATAAGAATTTCTTATCTGTCATATTTATTTCAATTAGCAAACATTCCTTTAGATATGCGAAGAAATAATTTATCCTAATAATTATAAAATAGTTTTTAGTAATAATTTATGACAATTAAATTCTTATAATTTTACAAGAATATGTCCCACAAATCACGCATTTGTTTCCTCATTTTGATTTCTCAGTTGAAATTAAAATTCATTTGATTTGGGATGTTGGTCTGAGAATGGTTTGTCGGTCGCTTGTTGCAAATTGGTATCAAATTGAAATGTGTGACAGGAGGATATGAGCGATAGACGAGCGGACAGTACCTCCACTGAAGTGACACCGTTCTCTACGCCGGTGCGCTCGCCTGAACCAGCAAACGCGTCAGCAACCGCGCCCAATGTTCCTACAGACACATCTAATTTAAGCAACGACTGTGATACTAATATAAGAGAAGATGATGACGTCGTAGATGCTCCGACGAGCGCAAACGCAGATGTAGATAATGTAGTGACAACTGAAGAAACTGTAGCAACTGAAGCAACGAATGTGAATACAACGGAACATGCTCAAGATACAAGTGACAATGAAATAGCTAGTACTAGTCAAATTAATAATATAGAAAACGTCGCAGATGATACGGAAGCAACAATTAACAACGAAAATGACGAATTGGTTAGACAACAAAGTAACGAGGACGCGCAGTCTCAGAGCACGGCGGAGACTAACGCAAGCGAGGAAGCTAATGACAATGTTGAAGAAGTACGAGTTAACGGCGATGAAGTAACGCCAGCGGCAGATGATGATGATGATGAAGTGGAATTGATAGAAATAGTAGCAGAGTCTTTGACGTTTGATGAGAACCACTTTAGTACTCCGACGGGAGGCAGTCCCGAGGGCCGGTCGCCGACCTCCCGCCGCCGGAGGACCACTGCCAGCTCCATGGATGACTCGGAGGTAAGACAACGATTTGGGGCGTGACGTGTTGTATTGTGTACAAAATGTTTATAGCAGTTAATTCATGACACACAGATGATATCTCAGATTGAAATTGAGCTTGGAATTTAATAATTCAATTTACGATAGTTTGCAAGTTTTAGTCAAAATTAAATCAAAATTACATTGTTAAATAGATTAGCGTATCATATTTTTCTTCTAATAATTTAGCCAAAAGTGATAGTAAACATATATTTTTATTTTCCAATTCTTTTTAAATTTGTTTTTAGTTATTATTCAAATCAGTTATTTTCAAAGTTTGCGACTTAAAATATTAGCACACAGTCTTTTCTAAAGATACATTAATAATAGAAAAAATACTAAATACTAGAAACATATAACCATATATGATTTTATTACGGCGATATAATCGTATTTGGCTGAACACAGATACGCTTTAAAACACGCCATTTTGTTAATTCATTCGGCCAGAATATTTTTTTATTATAAAATACTGGCTGAATGAATATTACACGAAAATTGGACGCTTTGCACAATTGTCTATGACAGAGTTTTAAAGGACAATATAAATTTAACATGCTACATGCTTCTCACTAACAAAAAAATTACATAATTTCCTTCTGGTATTTAACCATAGATTTCTATTATTACTTAAACTACTTTGTTTCCTAGAAAATATCAAATTATAAGTATGGGGATAAAAATATTAGTAACTATACGACATATTTATGTCTCTGAAGTTAGTAATGGGAAAATAGAATTTAAGGGATTTAAAAAGTACGTCATATCTAACTCCAGGGACACTAAATTAAACCTTATTGTTTAAGAAATAGAATCCAATTTCGCCTAAAACATCTTCATCGTACTCTATGGTTTACTGTGACTTAGCTAGTTCTCTAAAAAAGTTTTTATATATTGTTTTTTTTTTCATAAATGAATACTGAAGCTTGTGCTGTATTGCTTTTTTGTGCTTTTCTTATAAATTTGCACGTATTTATAAATTGCATGTTTGAAAGTATGTATTATTGTACTAAATGTAGAGAATGTATAGTAAATTGTTATGTAGTTTGTTCTAATTATTGTATTATTCTTAGAAAACATATTTATAATATTTGATTTCTAGTAAAATGTAGAAATATTTTACATTATTTTAATTATTACTTGTAATTCTCACGAAATCCATATCTCTCTAATATCCATAGACAATTTCCATGTTAATTTTAAAGGTTTTAATAGTAGTAGATGAATAAACATAATTAACGTCCGATAGAATTTGTACCTTAAGTCATTACGATTTAAAGTCGAGATTGCAAAGTGCGGTATGTTTTAGGACGAAACAGACGCGTCCACCGAAAGTACGAGAAGCAGTAGTGCCAGCTCTCAGAGTCAGAATCTGCCGAATAGCGATGGTTTGTTTTTGTTCATTTATAGTATTTTTACAAGTACAGACATGTTTAGTAACTGTTAGTAACTATTAGTAACTGTTACCAAACATGGTAACCATAAATTGCTCCTTAATTTTTAATAGCAAATTTAAATATTAAAAAGTAAGTAATATAGGTACGAGAAAAATACAGAGAAATGGAATATGATTATTTTTACATTAGTAATTTTTAGTATTTAGTAGGTTTAAGTTAGGTATCGTTACAGGGTTGCCGCCAGGCTGGAGCATGCAGAGAGCACCCAATGGAAGAATATTTTTCATTGACCACAATCAGAAAACAACAACATGGATCGACCCTAGAACAGGTAAGTGATGGAGGCCAGCAACAACATCTGTTGCACGAATGTACCTCGCTGCAATACCACCAAGACTCCAACACAGAGAACACGTGCATCAAGTGAGAAAAAATTCCGCGTACAGTCTGATGAGTTTGCAGGAAGTTTAATTTTAGTAGTTTAGTGGTCGTTCCTTTCACACTATCTGCTTATAAGGAAAGAATGGGAAGGGGAAACAGATTTAACGAAGGGTTGATGCATAGGAACGAGAAATTTTCTCACCTCCTTCGTCCCCTTCTTTGTCGATTAAAGGTAGACCACGCATCTGCCATTACGGATGTCTATGAACAGAAGTCGTTTCGCTATTTCTGCGTATTCAGATGAATATTATATATAAAAGATACCCCAAAATCATAGTGATTAGAGTTTGTCAGATGTTTGATGTTGGTGTTGCGCAGGCTGCGCATCCAGCTTGCCAACAGCGGCGGGCAGCAGCAGCGCGGCGGAGGCGGACGAGCTGGGCGCGCTGCCCGAGGGCTGGGAGGAGCGCGTGCACACAG